GTAAAAGGGAGACTGCTGACATGGATGAAAATTTGTTTAACTTAAAGAAGATGTGAACAGTAATCAAAGGCAATGTACGTGACTGGACGAGTGTTACTAGCAGAGTACCACAGGGGTTGGTTCTTGAACCAGTAATGTTCATCATTATATATATGATCTTTTGGACCTTATATGCATATACACCTGTAGGGAATTCTATTGTGAACACATTGATACCAAAATGAAAAACCTAGGATGAGAATTGAGGTGACAAAAGTGAAGTGATCCCTTTCCCTTGAAACCCTTTCCTTAGGCTGCAAAGATAGAGTTGGTAAGACACATTGTTTAAACTAAAATGAACTTAACAACAAACCCTCTAACATCACCACCTTTGCTTGGATTGTCAGCACTATTGCGTCGCATCAGTCCACGAACCAAATGACCCCACCCTCATGTAGCAATCACAATGTGCTCTTTTTTATTCACCTCACTTTATACTTGCAAATGTATAAATTCCCGAGAACACTTTCTTTGTGCGTAGGCAGAGGAATCTTTAACCCTTAAACTGCACAAAACCTCATATGATGTGTGACAAACTGTTTTTTTTTAAATTTTCTGAAACTTTTTCAAATGTTTTGTGAATAATCTACTAGGCAAATGCTCCAACTTTGTCTAAATGATACCAGTGTAACTTGAAAAACAAGAAATTTTCATATATTTAGAATATAGGTTTTCAATATAGTTTACTGTAAAAAGTTTGTCAATATGGCATTTGAAATATTCGCAAATTTAGACAAAAATTTATAACTCCAAACGTTTAAAAAATCAATTCTATAAGGATTGTAGAACAGACAGCTGTGTACACTATATGTAAAAATGATAAGAATCGGTCAGAAACTAGATTTTTGGATACTGAAGCAAGTTGAAATTCTAGTTATAGGTATAATTGAAGTTGAAGTTATCGACAATGAATAAGGCAGTTCTAATTCATGAATTTACTTGTATGTTGTAATAAACACTGTTTGGCATTCGTACTCAAGTATGTGAAAGTTGTAGGTCAATGTGTGTAGAAATGAAGTCAAGAAAAAATAACCCCCCCCCCCCCCAAAAAAATATAGGGATAATTATAATAATTATAATGATTTAGGGAATATATTTAGGGTATACTTTATATAAGTAAAAAACCCTAATATGGTCCTTAATCATTAAACAATGTAAAGAAACAAGGAAAATAGAGTTTGAAATCTGTGAAAAAATCAGCCCAAAAAATTCAGTTCCAAGTTCTGAGAGTTGTAACTGATTTATTTGTAGATCATTTAAATTTTGGCTTCACATAGTTAGGGACGCGTATGCATTCTCCAGGATGCAAAGGTTAAAACAAATTCAAATAATAAACAAAGGAGGAAAAACCTAAAAACCTAAAAACACTAAAACAAATGAACATCATTGAAAGTAACTGATAACATTGGGCAATGTACTTATATGATATATAATAAAATAGAGCATAACATAATTCCTCATTATTATTTGTTATTATGTATTACTCACAAATGCTATAAAGACACCAACTGTATATCCACTTTGTGGACACTTCTTACTACTACAGTATTCTTCTTTGTGCGTCGAATAGGTGCTTGCATCTTTTATTATTGCATTATCCACCAGTTGCAGTTAATAGGAGCCGTTCTCTTTATCAATAAAACATTCTCTTTTTTTATAAATATTCGTCTAAAATAAATTTCTGAAAATATTTTGATGAAATTCAAGCTCAAGCAAAAAAGTTGGAGAATTCTTTAAAATTTTTAAGTAATTTTACATAATTTTAATATTTTTCAAATTATACCCCTTTCCATCTCGCACATCATATGACGTTTTGCGCAGTTTAAGGGTTAATCATAGCTGCTCCTTTTAGAGGCTAATGGCCTGGATATATATATATACTGCATACACAAGAGCCCCAATACTTTAAGGAGACATCTCACACACACACACACACACACACACACACACACACACACACACACACACACACACACACACACACACACACACACACACACAACACACACTGCAAAAAAAACATTTAAACTAAATGGGTAGAAAACCTGAGGAGTAATGACATAACAGACAGACAGTATGTTTTTTGAACAGGAAGATCCTTTGCATCTACAGTACTTAGTGTTTATGATAGAGCAAGAGATTCTACAGGAGTGTGTTGGATGGGTTGACTGTGTATATCTGAACCTAAAAAAAGATCCAGAGCATGGACTGTTAAAACAGTCCCACCCAAGAGGCTGGAGGAGTGAAAGGGAGACTGCTGACATGGATGAAAATTTGTTTAACTGAAAAAAGATGTAAACAGAAATCAATGGCAATGTATGTGACTGAAGGAGTGTTACTAGCAGAGTACCACAGGGTTCTGTTCTTGCACCAGTAATGTTCCTCACTACATATATGATCTACGAGAAAGAATACAAAATTATATGAATGTTTGCTGATAATGCTGAGCTATAAGGGAAGATAGGAGAAATAGACAAATGTCATGCTTCTAATTGACCTAGATAAAATAAGTGCTTGGAGCACAATATGGCAAATGGAATTTAATGTGAATAAATGCCATAATATGGAATGTGGAATAGGTGAAAATAGACCACACACAACTTACAGATAATGTGGAAAGAAATGAAAGAATTCTAACAGAGATCTAGAGGTGGTTCTGGATAGCAGAATGTCACCAGTGGACACACACAACATTGTGCGAGGATCATATACTGCACTTTTCAACTTCAGAATTGCTTTTAATTAAACAGAAGGTGAAATACTAAAAAATTGTTCACGACTCTTGTGAGACCAAAATTGGAATATGCAGCAGTTGTATGGTGCCCATATCTCAAAAAGTGCATCAGTAAACTAGGAAAGGTGCAGTGGCATGCTACAAGATTGCTTCCAGACCTGAAAAATGAGATATGAAGATACAAATGAGACACATACTTAATGCTAGAGGCATTAAGTATGAGAAGATAGAAAAAGATTAGATATGATCACCACTTACAAAATAATAGGAACTGATCAAATAAGAGGAATTCCTGAAATTGATAACCTCATGAACAAGAGGTCATAGATTCAAGCTAAGGAAACAAAGGTGCCAAAAAATTATTATACGGTTTTCTTTTGCAATCAGTGGTAGACGGTTGGAACAAGTTAAGCAAGAAAGTTGTGGAGGACAAAACCATCAGTAGCTTCAAAGCGTTATATGACAGTGTACTGGGTAGGCAGGACACCACGAGTGTAGCTCTCATCCTTTAACTACACTTTAACTTCAAGTCAAAGACCTTGAAATAATAATGTAAGAAAATTTAATGGTTAATGGTCACAATAAAGTAAAAGATTACAACAGCCAAGAAAATAGTAGCTTCAAAACCTTCAAAACAAGAGATGCCACACCAATCATGGTTCTCTTCCAAGCACTGGTGCCATCTCAAATAGTTATTATTCAGTTCACACATCCCCTTTTAATTAAGGGCAGTGAGATTGTAGAGCCGGGAAATATGCAAACTCCTTTACTGCACTCATAGAACCAGTGAAGCATTTAAACTTCTACTGGGCCTGACTCAAAGTACTCAAACTGTACTCCTTGGAATAAAGATGAGAAAGATGTCTCCATATATACACTTGGCAGATACTGGCAGGTCAGGCTCCAAATCTGCACAAAAAATTACAACATATTGGAGTAAGAGATGTAGTACGAAGATAAATATAAATCCAATGAAAAGTTGGGCAGCCAACAGAAAATAAGCATAATTTGAGAACTAGTGTAAAAAGAGATCTATGACTTCAATCTCCTGCCAACAACAAGAAATGTTGTTGAACAACAGTGGAAGCTTTCAAGATAGAATATAACCTTTGGGTTGCCAGAGCTGCCATCTGATGGCAAAGTGTGGTGCTAACTAGCTGATAGACCAAGAGAACATGTTCATACCAGCCTAATCAAGGTTGCAAATGTTGTCCAAGCAGTTGCTTGTTTTGGTATGCTCTACTTTTTCTTTCCGAGGGGTCTTTCCTTTGGCACTGTGGAGACCTTATATACTGTACCAAGACTTCTGGTCTTTGGCAAGTGCTCATGATTCATTAAGAGCCTGGAGAAGTACCCCAAGCTACCCACTGGGACAGCTCCAAGTGGGTAGCTGGGAAAGATACTGTACAGGTTTTCCCAGAAAATATTTGTAATTTTGATAACAGTATAAGGAACTAAAATAAATTTTGTAGCGCTTGGTGACTGGTGCTGCCCCATCAAAGTATGCAAACAAATTGTTTTAGTTAATATTGATACTACAAATTAAATTATTTAATTCAATGTGTTCCGATGTTTCTTCTACCATATGATACAATAAACAAAATATTCTCATGCACAAATGTATACTGTACACACTCGTAGATTTCACAAGGTATATTTGGACAACTAAAAATGCTGTATTTGCTAACAGATGTTACAGTGCCTAATTACATCCCTCTACTTGTATCCTTACTCTGAAAAGTGTTCCATTGTATTTTCGGGATCAGACCATTATGACCAGTTTACACTAACGCAAATAGTTCCAGCACAAAATGTCACTTAAGAGATCAGAAATACACTTGGAATAATAGGAACAAAAAAAGTGGCTCAGAATGTTTACTGTGGTCCTCCCCCGGGTGAACTCTGGTTTGTCCCTTGTACCTAATCTTGAAGCCATAAGCTCCACCCACACTATGCCTACATATTTCAACAGAATGGCTACTGAGGAATAATTTACAAAATCACTGATGCATTTTAGCATCATTGGACCATTTCTTGAAAAACTGTTGAAAGCACAAAAATGCATCATTGAACAGATAAGGCTCTAAGTCAATACAATTAATTAGGTGTTCACACTAATAAACAAACACATCTGAAGAAAAAACAAACTATAAAGCATCCATAATGGAAAAACTTTATAAACAATGCAAAAGCTATGATTACCAAGAACTTAAACCGAGCTACCCACCTTTGGTTGAGTGGAAGGATGCAAAGCCCAGCACCTCTCGCATCTGTTTCTCCTCCGCTGTTAATTCTTGTGGTGGAGATTCTAAAAAATATTGACACAGGTTAATATATCTTCATATTTTTAGTTAAAATACTACAAAGCTTATTAACACTTCCACGGTCCTGTGTTATGTACCAGTTTTCCAAGTTGTAAGCTTTCCAAGCTTCAAGTGCACTGCTCAGTGACGCCTAAAATGTTTATACGTACAGTACTCTCACATTTATTAATTTTCTAAGTTTTGAGTTCTAACAATTTTAGTGTCAAAATGTTTGCAAATTTACTTGCTAGGGAAAAGTTACCATACAATGTGTTTATATAATAGATTATGTGTGACAGTCTTGAATATACAAATTATTAGTTAGTTTTAATGTCATTAGAACATTTACTGTTGGAATATGGACGACACATTTTAGCATCATCGGGACACTAGTGTTAAAAACGAAAAAGAATGCTAGTGTAAATAAAACATTAAATGAAAGATCAAAATGTCTGCCACTATGATTATACAATTTTCCTTAACATGAGATATTCAGACACCTCGGGACCAAAACCATCCAAGACACTAACTAAAATAAACATCTATAATATAGGATGTCTAAAGAAGGCCAGACACTAAGGGCTAGCCTCGACCAACTTTCGAAGATGACACATAGTGGTACGAGTGCCCTAAGTCAGATGGGGTCAGCCCCAGTGCCAATAAGAAGTAACGGCATCCTGTGATCCCTGTGCAATTTTCAGGGTCTGAAATTTGATTTAGTTTCCATGTAGTTCCAAAGACAAAGGTGTTGACAGAAAGGAGAAACATCGAGGGGGAGGGGTTTGAGGGGTGGAGAAGAGGGAGAGAGTTTGAGGGGGAGGGGAGAGGGCTTGGGGAGAAGACCGGAAGGGGTTTAGGGGGGGGGAAGAAGACGGGAAGGTTAGGGGGGGGAGAAAAGACTGGAAGGTTAAGGGGGGGGGGGGAAGAAGACGAAGGTTAGGGGAGGGCAGAAGATAGGATGGATTGGGGGGGGGGGGCAGAAGACAGGAAGGGTTTGGGGGGGGAAGACAGGAAGGATTTGGGGAAGATGGAGGGAAAGACAGGGAGGATTTAGGAGGGGGAAAGAGTTTGGAGGAATGAGAAAGAGAAGGTAGGAGATTACATGTTCTTTGATGTAATCTTTCGTGTGTTGATCGATGCTTTGAAAGAAGATGTTACCTTGCCTATATACTGTACAACTTTAAGTCCCTCCAAGTGGGTATGTGAAAGCATAGACTTTCAAGTATATAGGCAAGATGACAATGTCTCTTTCAATACATCTGACAATGTACAAACAGCAAAGCTCCAACAAGGCCCTTGTTGGGCAATGTACACCTCCAGGGTTAAGGTGGTCCTACAATTAATACATATAACCTCTGCACAACCAATCACCAGAGAAATCCTGACAGACACTGAAATAATTGACAGATACAACAGAATATTATACATCACAAAAGAACTACATATTAAACTCACTCAACCAATTAACAACCAGCTTACACTTGGTGCAACCTACTATCTTCAAGAACAAAATCGAACATCTTGCATATGCACATGTACGGTATATGTGTCTACATGTCTATCTTGCTTTGAAGAAGGCAAACCGAGCCGAAAACGCATTCAGCAAATGTGTTTTATCCGCATTACAGTACTTGGATCAGTGTTTTTGTGGTCACTGTTGCATATCTATTTATGTACATGTATATATGTACTGTATATAAATTTTTTGATTAATGTGTATGTATGTAATTGATTATGCATGTGTAATTATGTAAGTGAAGTTACATGATGAGAACTACACTTGTGGTGTCCCATCTTCCCAATAGTCATTTTCACATAACACTTTGAAACTATTGATGGGTTTAGCATCCACAACCTTCTCACTTAACTTGTTCCAATTGTCTACCACTCTGTAAAAAGAGAACTTTTACAAACTTTGTAAAAGAGAATAATTTTTTGGCCCCTTTGCTTCCAATGATTGAATTTATGATGGCTTCTTTAAGTTGCACATTTCAAGAATTCTGTCAATTTTGTAGTCTTGTTACTATTTTCTACATAGTGATTATATCACATCGTTCTTCTAGCTTTGGCATGTTTAAGGGGGCGTCTGGTTGGCATCTGGGTCCAAAAATGCAAAAATGAAAACTCATTCGATTTCAATCAAACTTTTTTGACAAGTTCTATATGAAAAGTGTTTCATCTGGTCCAAGTTTCAGCATTGTAGCATAAATAGGAAGGGAGAAAAAAAATATTGAAGTAGTTGTGAAAATTATGCAAAAATGGTCAAAATCGATTATCAATCAAAAGTGTCAACTGAAATCATAACTACAACTCTTTGCTATCACAATAGCATATATTAAACAAATATTATTATTAGTTTAATTGGAAAAAAAATTTAAGGAAAAAAAAAAAGGATTTTTTTTCTTTTTTTTTTTTTTTAAATATTTTTTTTTTCATTTTTTTTGGGGCGATTTGCATCAAACTTACACACCTGACTGTACGTAAGCCTATCTGTAAGGATGCCAATTTTGGAGAAAATTGGTTAATGTCAACCCCAGCCACAGATTTTAGAACCTTAGACTTTATTCATTTCTGTTTTTTTTTCAATTGACACAAACGTTTACAAAACTCATTCTTTTTTTATTCAATTTACATGAAACTTACACAGTATATGTGGAGGGCATGTCTCTACATTGGGGGGCTTTCATTTTTCTCTAAGTTCATTTATTGATTTTATAATAGCAATAAACATGCCATATTTGCAAAAAAAATTTGGGGAACTTTGAACATTTGTATTAGGAAAACTAAAGATGTTTTGGAAATTCTAAATCCCCAAATCCTTTATTATATGCTAATGTGTCAGAAAAGTGTCACAGAATAATTTTATCTGAAACGTGTGTTCTGAAGTGTAGACTTAAAAATGTGTAAAAAACGTTCAAAAAAAAAAAAAAAAAAAAAAACTACCTTTCTATTTACGCTGCAGTACTGAAACTTGGGACAATTCAAGCACTTTTCATATACAACTAGAAAAATAATATTGGTTGACATTGAACAACTTTCATTATAATAACCAGACGCCCCCTTAACACAAAGCTCTTATCTTTCAGTTCCAGAAGCCTTTTTGTTTCATGTCTTGGCATATTTTCCAGTTTATTGATATGCTGCTCCAAATATGGGTACCATTTAACTGCTACATATTCCAATTTTGGTCTTACAAGTCTTGAACAATATTTCGTATATAACATATCCATATATTTAAAAGCAATTCTGAAGTTGGAAAGTATAGTATTATGCACGATGTGCTATACTGTATAGTATACAGCACAATGTTCTTTGGTCCTCTGGTGACAAGTTTACTATCTAGAACCTCTCAGAGTTCTCTCTCCTTTATCAGTTCTTTAACCACCGCACTGCGCAGAGCACCTTGAACACTGGATCGGAAGTGTGCAGAGCACCTCAGGGCACTCGTAAGTACAGTATAGCGCACAATTCAAAACTCCCGCGGATACACAGGGTTCACATCAGCTTTTTCAGGCCTCTAGTAAACACACGCCATTTAAAAAAAAAAATGCGGGCAACATTTTCCTGACCAACAGAACCCAATGTGTAATAGTCAACAAAATAAAATCCAGCCCATCAACCGTGAAGAGCTCAGTCCCCCAGGGTACTGTGCTTGCTCCAGTACTTTTTCTCATCCTCATATCGGACATAGACAAGAACACAACCACTGTACTGAACACAGCACTGTATCATCCTTTGCAGATGACACTAGGATCTTCATGAGTAGGCAACATAGAGGACACGGCAAACCTCCAATCAGATGTAGATCAGGTCTTTCTATGGGCTACAGAAAATAATATGGTGTTCAACGAAGTTCCAGCTCATGCGCTACGGAAAAAATGAAAATATAAAACCGGAAACCACATACAAAACTCGGGCAAATCATAACATAGAACGAAAAGGCAATGTAAAGGATCTGGGTGTACTCATGTCGTAAGACCTTACCTTTAAAGAACACAATAAAGTAGCCGTCACAACTGCAAGAAAAATGACAGGTTGGATAACAAGAACTTTTCACACTAGAGATGCTGTACCGATGATGATACTTTTCAAAATGCTTGTGCTCTCTAGGAATGGAGTACTGCTGCACAATGACAGCCCCTTTCAAAGCTGGAGAAATTGCTGACCTGGAGAGCATGCAGAGATCCTTTACTGTTAGAATCCACTCAGTAAAACATCTAAACTACTGGGACCGACTAAAGAGCCTAAATCTGTATTCCCTTGAGCGCAGGCGGGAGAGATACATAATAATCTATACGTGGAAAATAATTGAGGGGCTGGTCCCAAACCTGCACACAGAAATAACATCACATGAGACCAGAAGACATGGCAGGATGTACAGAATACCCCCGTTGAAAAGCAGAGGTGCAACAGGTACTCAGAGAGAACTCTATCAACATCAGAGGCCCGAGACTGTTCAACACGCTTCCACTACACATAAGGGACATAACTGGCAGAGCCTTCACAGTGTTCAAGAGCGAACTGGATAAGCACCTCCAAAGGATACTTGATCAACTAGGCTGTGACTCATACGTCAGGCTGCGAGCAGCCGCGTCCAACAGCCTGGTTGATCAGTCCAGCAACAGGAGGCCTGGTCGACAACCAGGCCACGGGGACGCTAAGCCCCCGGAAGCACCTCAAGGTAACCTCAAGGTAAGATATAGACCGAACACATTTTAAACAATAGCAACATGAGTGGAGAAACATCAGATTATGGCAAATACCATAATTTCCGTTACTCGGATAATAGAGAAGGCCACTTGCAAGGATATTACAGATTAATCGAACCGTTTTGCTCCCGGGGTGTCTAGTTATAGAGGTTAATAACTGGACTTCACTTTAAATTATAATTCAACTGTCAATACACACAAACATATGGTACTAACCATCGTGTCTTCCGGATGGCCCTGCCATATAAACAGGAGATCTGCGATGAGAACCTCGAGGTGACCGTGATCTTGAACGCGACCTTGAGCGAGACCTACGGTCTCTTCTCTCACGTTCACGATCTCTATCACGCCTGCCTGGCTCTCTTTCCCGCGAGTGAGACCTGCAACAAGTGATCAAACAAAAATAATTATCAGTTTAATCAAGTAAAAACTAAATCTAGTTCATGTAATACAGGTATAATTATTATTACAGTACAGTACTAAAAGTATTTATTACAACATTATAAACTTTTAGAAAGGTTTATTATGAAAAAAAAATTAACATCTTAGCATTCCGATGAAACTATGTCATCCATCTCAAAATTTGCAAATGTGACTTCCATTTATTTGGGGACCAGTATGGTAAGGCTTATCCTGTTACCAACTAAATTATCATATCATCCAAATCTACTTGTGAGTATTTTCACTACACTGCAAATTACCTGCTCAAAAAGAATTAAAGTTATCTTTGTTTTCTTTTTACAGACAAACTAATCATGTGTGCACATTTCCATATTTTTATTTTTGTAAACAAATAAATGATGAATGATGATAAATATATATACGAGTACTGTAATGTTTAAATGTTCATAGACATTCATATATTCAGCACTGCCATACATAATCTATTTTGGAGAAAAGAATCCCCCCCCACCCCCAAAAAAATCCTTTCTGATGCATACAACAGCAGCCATTTCCACAAAGTTCAATCACTTGTAGCTTATCTTTACTGGATAGTATAACTTGCTTCCTCTATGACCCCTATGTTGACTGCTGGTGTTACCAGACATGGTCTTGGCAAAAAAAAATAAAAAATCCCGATTTATATTATAAATCCTGATTTATGTTATAAATCCTGCTTTATATTATAAATCCTGCTTTATATTATAAATCCTGCTTTATATTATAAATCCTGCTTTATATTACTGTACATTATAAATCAGGATTTATTTTAAAGTAAAATTTTCAACAAAGGCTGTGTAGAACAATGCGAGAATGCATGGAGGGCAGACAGGTGAGTGGGCAGGCAGAGCATGCACAGTCAGGAGGAAGAGTGGGTAGGTAGCAGAGTAGATGAGCAGGCTGGCAGAAGGGCAGGAGGGTGAGCAAACGAACAGGAGGGAGCGAGAGCAGTCGAGTTTCTGGTAATGTAAAGCTAATATGTATCAAAAGCAGAATATCAGAATAAGGACTTGTGAAATAACAAAACCCTCTTACACTTGTGAAATAAAGAAACCCCTCTTACACTTGTGAAAAAAAGAAACCCCCTCTTACCCTTGCGCAATAAAGAACCTCATCTTACCCTTTTGCAATAAAGAACCTCCTCTTACCCTTGCACAATAAAGCACCTCCCCTTACCCTTGTGCAATAAATAACATCCTCTTACCCTTGTGCAATAAAAAACCTCCTCTTACCCTTGTAAGAGGGCAAGAGGGTCTTTCTTGTGCAATAAAGAACCTCCTCTTACCCTTGCAAGAGGGTAAACCTCCTCCTTACTCTTGTGCAATAAAGAACCTCCTCTTACCCTTGCTCAATAAAAAAAACTCCTTTGTAGTCACACACACGTCTCACACCATAGACCCTCTGACTTGCGTGGGACTGCCTCACTACCCCCAATCCACACCGAACATAGGTGTGGTTGCAGTGAGGCAGTGGCCAACAGGTACAGTTGGCATGGCCTACTCTGCCAAAGCAAAGGATGATGGCACACAAGACACAGTGAGGTAAATGGCATTATTAAGAGGAGCCTTACCACAGCAGGTTGTCCAGCAGAGAGAACCCCATTACCTAACTCCCCGTAAATCTGACGAGCCTGTTGGTCGCCCAGATGAGATCACTGTGAATCCCTGGCAAAAATGGTACAGTTGGTGTGGGACTACACATGCATTTCAACTTTGACCAACACCTATGTTGACTTCAGTTTTGCACATCTGGATGGTGCTGCCACCCACAGGGAAGTAGCCAGGTCTCATATATACAGAGATCTGGATCACCACCACAATTTTGTTCCCATTGCCTCCGAGACACTTAATGCCTGGGATAAAAGTACCACTAGTTTTTTTAAGGCACTAGGTTATAAGTTAATTGAAGCAACAAGAGACCCTAGAGCCACCAGCTTCCTCTACCACCTTAGTGTGGCGATACAGAGAGGAAACGCACACTGCATCTATGGTTCCTGCCCACCATCTAAGGAGCTGGAGGAACTCTACAACCTTGACAACTAGCCTTGTACCTTGCATGTAACCCATTTTTGTGTAATGGAGTTTTAAGTAAAATAAAATGACAAAATATACAACATAAGAGTGGGTGGTAGGAGAAAACAATGTGAGCATGCGGGTGCCTCACAAGGCTCCCCCGGATGCTGCATGTCCTCCTCTTCGAGGCCAAAGGTCCCTACAAACACAACCAGAGGTAGTACTCCCTATAAATATTTTGAGGGGCAGGGGCACAGTGGGTTGTGATGACTGTTAGTGGTGTGATCAATTCCAACTGTTCAAATATGGCAACTCTAGTTATGGCTTCCTGGAACACAATGCACAGCAAGGTTGAAGAACTAAAGTTTTGGGGGAACTAGAGTAGAGTAAATGTGAACAATTTTCAATGGAAGAATGGATACCACAAGTCTTAAAAACTATCTAGCACCCTCCTACTTCCCCAAACAGCCCAACCACTTTGGATGGACGGTAGAGTGCATCTCGCTTCATGTAGGTTAGCGTTCAATCCCCAATTGTCCAAGTGGATGAGCACCAGTCCTTTCACCAGTCCCAACACAAATCTTTATCCTGATCCCTTCCAAGTGCTAAATAGCTGTAATGGTTTGGTGATTTCTCCTGATAATTCACTTCCCCCTAACAAAAACAAAAAAATCTAACTTACCTATGTCGGTGGTACCGTTCACGATCCCGTTCCCTTTCACGTTCTCGCTCTCTTCCCATTGTGATACAGCTGAAAAATAAGTATTTTAGGCGTAATAAAGTCAGGTATATGCACATTATGGTATAACCTTAACCTGTTTTATATTTGTGTGCATCTCAAGCCATGTCTCACTGTTAACACTTCCAGATACGAATGAATCCCCTGGCATGCACTTCTCTCAGCTCTCTGGATCATCACTTTGCATAATTTTTGTTAATAATTGAGATCAAATTGGTCTCAAGCTTAATATTTAAAAAATAAAAAATTTAACACTATTTAAAACACAGATTTTAACACAGAATTCCCAAACTTGTTAGGTTTTTTTTTTTATGTCCAAAAGTTCATCATTTTGCTATGTAATAATATACAAAAACTTAGTGATGATAGGGACTTAATAATAAAACCTAATTTACTTGAATTTCTATAGAAAAACATCAAATGACAAGTTAACTCAGCCAGAGTAACCCAAAATATGCCATATAAAGAACCCATCAACTAACGGCCAAGAGCCTTGCAAATCGTGACGCTGATCTGATTCAGATTAAGATTTGACAATTTCAATACTGTATTGTCCACTTGATATATAGTAATTTATTATTGTATGCATGTATAGTTATATAAACATGTATGCTGATGCTGCTACATTACTAAGAGATCTAGGGGAGGTCTTGGAAAGTAAACTGTCACCAGAGGACTACATAAAGGGCACCGTCAGAGTTGCACGTGCTACACTTTCAACCTTCACAACCGTTTTTAAATACACGGATGGAGTAATATTAAAATAATTGTTGACATTTGAGACCAAATCTGGGAACTGCTGCAGTTGTATTGTGCCCAACCCTCTGGAACAGTGTTTCTCAGTTCTGCAGAACCCCAAGGTAACTACAAGTTCCACAAGAGACAGTGATAAATAGGCTAATTCTAACCACTTATAAATATATTTTCAAGTCTTTTTTTTTCTCATTTAACCAGTATCAAGAGCAAAGAAAAATCGTTTATAAGTTGACAATGAAATCCAAGCACATTTATCTAAAGAATGCTCATTATTATTAAGGGTACAAACTTTGAGAAACTGCTCTAAACGTAAATCAATAAACTGCATAGGGTGCAAAGACATATGAAATGGCTTCCAGAGTTGAAAAACAGGACTATGAAGAAAGGTTGGAGGTGTTGAATATGCTCCAGCTACAAGATAGAAGGAAAAAAAAAAAGAGGCGATATGATCACAATATACAAAGGATAAAGTAACATTGTACACACGACAATTTGCCAACAGCTTCTGAAGCCTACCTAACCCAATCTAGCTCAACCTAACTGAACAGTGCCTAGCTCAGCCTAGCCAAACACTGGTTTAGAAATAATGTTGCAGATATGTTCAACAAATAACCAGGTAATATATTACGCATGGGATCGCTGCATTGTTTTCAAGCATAGGCTAAACATGCAGTATATAAAGTTTGATTAGGTATAAATATGAGTTTACTTTATTATTCTTATGGTCACATAACCCACAACTATAATAAAAAATACAACATTTAAAATAATATTGATAACCTATGAAAAACTTTGTTATTAAAAGGTTGAATTGAAACACCAAATCATTATAATATTATCATGAAGTCGTGTCATGTATATAACTGATTTCATAGTTTGTGTACAAAACGTTGAACTAGTCAAACATTTTTTTTGTTTATTTTGTGTTTTTTGTATACGCATGAGCGTGCGTAGCCAACGACCAGCTCCCATTTTAAGTGCGGCATTACCACGAGACCCACCTGCTAGTCACACATATCTACATTATACAACCTATATTAAAGACTCGTACGTACAGAGAACACAATAGACGATACGCTGAAGGTCACTGGCTACGGACAAATTTCACAACGCTGAGGATGGGCGAGTAACACCTCAATTTCCCTTTTGGCGCCTCCAGTTAGCGCGTGAAAAACCAGATGAGCCAAGGCGGCGCTTGGTAGCGTGGAGCGTCCCTCTCCAGCCGCCCTCTACCGCCCTCCCTCCTCCCACACCCTCACCAACAACATCTGCCTTCCACTTACATTACTATACCTCGTGGATCTTTATGAACGTACCACGACTACACTCCCTCTCTCACACGCCTTAGCACTCGTCCAACAACGACGCCGCAGTAGGAACGTAAGAGTCGTTCATGAAGCCGTATGACTCGGACTCTTAATGCGGATTCATTCCATGACATCAAAATGACGTCATAAGAACACAACTTGAGTTATATCTTATTAGATGTTTTTAATATGGCTAATTTACATGATAAATAATTCCATGCTAATAATGTATAATACAAAATTTATACAAATAATTTGGTTTTAATAATTATTTTGGTCTACACTGTGTAATCTTTCATATAGAATAGGGTCGCGGTGTGTATACATGAGGTTGTTAATAAAACAAATTAAGATTGCTTTGCTAAGTACTTCATCAGGCAGTAGTTTAGAGAATAGACACAAATGTCTTTTTCTCGCATTCTGGCATTGTTACTGAGCAATCTGAGAGCAGCAGTACAACGAGAACTTCAACAAGATCTTGTAAATCTGAGGCAAAATGAAATTGACACCAGTAATTCCATCTATCATCATACTGTCATGCAAGAGGAGCCACACATCTATGGTTCATCCAATAAAATCAGCAGACTTCTAGATGTTACTACTGCTCGGCTTAGACTCGGTTACAAGTATCTCTGGGAATTTTCATTATCTGCTGATGTAGACCTTGTAAGTTTTTTGAGGCTTACAATCAGTTACTGAGTTACAAAACTCAGTATATAGGCAAGACAACAACATCTCTTTCTAGGCGTTTAACGATGCATAAGCAACAGGGCTCCATTAAGGAACATATAGCCTTTTCCCACAACCAAACCATCACCAGAGAAATCTTAGCAAACAACACAGAAATAATTGATAGATACAACGATAGCAGGCGGCTCGACTTCTACGAGGCACTACACATCAAGAAATCAACACCAGCAATCAACAGTCAATTAATGCACAACTATATTCTACCCACTTCAAGACTCCGTTCCAATATAGAAGCATCAAGAAATATGGACCAATAGGCTTTCTACAATTACTTCCATTCAAATACCCATTGTTTCGTGTTCTGTCTTGTGTTTGAATTTAATACCCATTCAATACCCATTGTTGAAAGTTTGTTTTCACCTCATCCACCTCACCCAAATGTAGATATAAAATCGAAGATGTGTAAGCTCTATTCAGTTTCACTTGTGTGTTTGTAAACTAAAGTCTTTGAAAATGTAATAAGTTTTACGAAACGCGCTCAAGTGTCGCGTCAGACTAGAAATAAAAATGAATTTTGGAGAATTGATCTTTGAATTACCATCAACAGTGAAAAGAAATGTAAGAAAGATCGAGAAAATTCGTGTTAGAATTATTAATCTTACTTTTTCGGTCATATATATATATATAATATATATATATATATATATATATATATATATATATATATATATATATATATATATATATATATATGTCGTACCTAGTAGCCAGAACTCACTTTTTGGCCTACTATTCAAGGCCCGATTTGCCTAATAAGCCAAGCTTTCCTGAATTAATATATTTTTTCTAATTTTTTTCTTATGAAATGATAAAGCTACCCATTTCATTATGTATGAGGTCATTTTTTTTTTATTGGAGTTAAAATTAACGTAGATATATGACCGAACCTAACCAACCCTACCTAACCTAACCTAACCTATCTTTATAGGTTAGGTTAGGTTAGGTAGCCGGAAAAGTTAGGTTAGGTTAGGTTAGGTAGGTTAGGTAGTCGAAAAAGCATTAATTCATGAAAACTTGGCTTATTAGGCAAATCGGGCCTTGCATAGTAGGCTGAGAAGTGCGTTCTGGCTACTAGGTACGACATATATATATATATATATATATATATATATATATATATATATATATATATTATTAAATATGTATATATATATGACCGAATGTATAATGTATAATATACATACTAGAGGACACAGGCAAAGCCAGTGTTCAAATGGAATAAGGGAGTATGGAATATATAAAAAATATAGCAAAAAACAAGAAAAAAGAGACAATAACAAGATGACAATTTAAAAAAATAAAATTAAGACTTTTTGAATGGAAAGGCAGAGCTATAGTACACATTGGTCGTTAGATTAGACTATTTAGGTATTGTATGTACTATCTCTATCTTTAAATCCATTATGTATGTACCTTTACTTGAATAAAAAATCTAAATCTAAATCTAAAAATTTGGGCACAGGCCACACGCTCTCAAAAAAGGTTTGCCATCCCTGCCCTAGGCCAACTTCTGATGACCTTTCGCAGGATGTAACTCATTAGTTACCCAACTCTGGGTTACTTATTTACTGCTGGTGAACATTAAAGGCATTATGATTGATTATGTGTAAAAAAACGTTTCTCAAACGCTTCGGTCCTGTTGCGGGAGTTGAACCCGGGATCTTTCAGCTATAACTCAACTGCGTAGACCACTGGGTCAAAATTGTGGCAGATTTAAGTGTGAGAAAATGTTTGATCGTAAGTATCGTACAATTGACCTCGTTTCGATTCACAATCGGGGATCCTGTTTGATTCCCAGACTGGGCAAAAATAGTTGGGCACGTTTTCTTTCGCCTAATGCTTGTGTTGAGGGCTTGAGGCAACAGTAATACTGCAGGTCCCCAGGAGTCGGCAGGTGTTGTGTTGCGTCCGTCCTCCATAGTAAACAAACCCAGACAACACTTCACCGGAGGGAAGAAAGGCTTCATACAGTAATATTCACAACAACAATCACTTTAACAATAGCAAGAACACTCGGAACATATTTCTCTGACTGGATACATGTTATTATTTCATTTTATACGTTACATGACTCCATTGGTGATTATTTTACAATTGGTTCGTCGAGAAAGGACTGTTTGTTGCTGTCTGGCATGCTTACCTGGAGCAGTACTTAGCTTTGGGGTATGGTCAAGGGGTATCGTTTTACGTTTATTAAAACCATGTGCTGTACATTGTTAGGTTAGACTGTATAAACTTTGGTTAGGCTGTATTAGGTTCAATTTGCAGTCCCCGTGGCGCAGTGGTAAAACACTGGTTTGGCACTTTGCGAGTGCTTTGGCCTGGGTTTGTGTTCTGTCCAGGGAAGATTGACTGGGTGCCAATCCTTAACGATAGCCTCTGTTCACCCAGCAGTGAATGGGTACCTGGTTGTTAAACGACTTGGCGGGTCGTATTTCGGGGAAAAATTTGGATTGAGGACCTGCCTTAATCCACTAGTGGTTTTACAATAATGTAAGAACTCTTTTGTGTGTGTGTGTGTATCGCTGGTATGTTTGGGGGTTTGGCCTCTTCCTGTATTGATTCCATTTTTGTGTCTTTTGGTCTCTGGCCCTCTCGCAATTTCTGTTGAACCAATCCTGTTTCCTAGTTCTGCATCTCTGTTTTGGTATAAATTTATTTGTGCCTTTATCATATATTTCACAAAACTTGACATTCATCTCATTCACTTCCTTGCCTAGCAACAAGTCTGTCCAATTATACTCGCTAAAAAATTTTCTAAGGTCGCCATAATGTCCTCTCCTGAAGTCAGGTTTATCAACTGCTTCAACCTCCTTATTTTCTTCCAGATTATAATGCATTGCATACTTTATTCCCAAAAAGACATGGTCACCTTTACCCAAGGGAGGAATGTACTGAATGTCAAATATTTCTTCCTCCTTCCTGGTAAATATGAAATCTAGCATGGAGGGAACATCCCCTTCCCTCATCCTCATAGCTTGTTTACCATGTTGATACAAGAATGTTTCCAGGATGAGGTCTACAAATCTACAGGTCCAAAAATCTTCTGCTTTAGCTTCATATGCTTCCCAGTCAGTGGATTTTAAGTTGAAGTCGCCGACTATCAAAAGTCGTGATCTATCTTTATCTGCTCTCGCTATAATCTCTCATTATTGTTATAAGACCTTCTCGTTTACTATCTAGCTCCTCCTTTGACCATGTGCTGCTTGGCGGTGGACTATATGCATTTATGATAATTAGTTTATCATCCTCATGGCAGATCTCTAGTGCTATTATGTCAACTTCTTGTGAATTGGCAGTCATTATTTCGTTCACCTTTAGGTGTTCTTTCACCAGCAGAGCAACACCACCGCCTTTCCTAATTTTTCTGTCCCATCTCCAAATTGCGTAGGCCCTTGGGAATATAACCTCGTTTAAAATAACAACTTATTTTATTAACTTATTAATAACATAACTTATTTAAAACTCCAGTATCTTCGATCTCACTCCATCTATGTTGGTGTATGCAATCTTCAGGAACTTGTTCCCCCTCTCCTTATTCTTCACTCCCCCTCTTTCTAATGATTTTGTTGGTTTGCCTTTATGTACCACTTTACTGGTCTGCCTACCACCTATCGCTTTGTAGAAATTTTTTTATTTCTTCTTCATTCCTGCTCTCATTTAAACGTTTTGCCTCGACGATGTTCAGTTTTAGCTTCTCTCTATCTTCTTTTGAAAGATCTCGTCTTAACGACCACACTTTCCCATCATCATCACTTTGTAATTTTCTAGCATTCCTTGGTACTTCTTCCATCTGTTTGGCACCATTTAGGGTGATCCTCAAAGGTCGATCTTTCCCTTTTACATATCTGCCTATTCTCCTGTAGTCGCAGACATTGTTGATGGTAGTAAGACCTTCCACGAGGCCAACAATTTTATCTACTACTTTCGCTTCTTCTACAGCTCTTTCTGACCTAGATGTTATCTCCTTTTCTTTGCAACCAAAAATTATCAGGGACTTACTCTGATCAACTGTGTTTTGCACCAACTTCGGATTAGATGCCAATTCCTTTCTCACTTCTAGCCTAATGTTTGTTTTATCTTGGGTGCTGCTGTGTTTGGCTTCCTTTACTGCTTCTTCAATTTTTTCTTTCTCCTTGGCCACTTGTGCATAAGTGAGTTTCATATCCTTCTTGCACTGTTCTATTCCCTGTGTAACTTCCTCCATCTGTGCTGACAGAGCTGTTTCTCCTGTTGAATTTCCTTACCTAACCTATTGTAGTCATTTATGTTTAAATTTACTCTTAACTTCTTCCAAAGCTATTTTTAAGGGTTTATTTTCTTCTTCCATGGCTTTGCAATTTGTTTCTAATTGATTCTTATCCTTGCACAAGTCTTTCACTAAACCCTCAAGACATAAAACTTTGCTATTTAAATGGTCATTACTTTCTTTCAATTTACTAATTATGTCTACATGAGAGTTCACTATAGTATCTAATTTTACCAACTTGTGTAGACTGCTTATATCAATGCTTTCTTCATTGAATCCAGCAAAATCACGCTCTGTTTTGTATATCCTCGTGCTGGCGGCCATCTTGAATGTTCTTCTTTACACTGAAAACACTAGAGCAACTTTTTCTCATCCAATTTTTCACTTCCCTTGGCACATTCCTGTTATCTCGCCTATTTTTCAAAAGCACTATACCTTTATGTTCTCTGGGACACCACTCACTCTCATCAACTTGTACTACAATACTTAGGATTGTTGAAATATGCTGGAGCTCCTCTGATGCAAGTGTTGACCCTAAGGGTGTCACCTTTTGAATAAAAAAAAAAGAAAGGAGCTTATATTAAAATATAAATATAATGACATAAAACAGTTGACAGTTGAGTGGGTTGCTGAAAGAGCAGAGCTCAACCCCCTCAAGCACAACTAGGTGAATACACACAGGAACCAGCTCCGTAACAGTTTTCTAACTCTCAGGTACCCATTTACTGCTAGGTAATAGTAAATAGGGCATTCACCCTCATTCAGGGCATTCAGGGTGAAAGAAACTTTACCCATTTGTTTTTGCCTGGTCCGGGAATCGAACCCGGGCCACAGAATTATGAGTCCTGCGCGCTGTCCACTAAGCTACCAGACCAAGAGTGTGTGACTCTTGGACCACTTCCTTATCTCTCCCTCCAGAATTGTTGCTACGGCTGCAGTCCCACTTTCGGCTGTTTCTGGGGGAGTTCCTGGGTCACTTGTTGGTTGCTTGAGCAGCTGTGCGGGAGTTTGAACTTCCCCGTGCTGGTTTACCTGCTGGGTCGGATCTGGCTTCAAGTACCTGAGCCCTCGCGTGATGTGTACACGGATTCGTCGTCTCCTGGCTGGGGCTTTTTGACCAGTGCTCATCAGGCCAGCCAGGATCGGTGGGGTCTGTCCTTCCATCAGGCTCGCATCACGGTTCGGGAGTTCGCATCGGTGTGGCTGTTGCTTTGGAAATTTCGTGTCACTTGTGGATCGACAATCCGGGTCCATTCGGACTGTGCCCTGGTAGTTCATTGCCTGAACTGGTACAAAGCGGTCCTTAGCTCTTTAGGGCTGGTCGCGTCGGGTGACTCATCTGAGTTATCAGGGTTTGGCTCTCCTGGCCCGTTCACTATCTGGGTGTGTCCAACATCTTGGCAGACGATCTGTCCCCGTTCATTCCCCCTGTTCCCGGAATGGATGGTTGATACCAACTCGTTCAGTTGGATCTGCTGACCGTACGGACGCCCAGAGGTGGACCTCTTCATGTCGGCGTGGTAAAGGAGTCTCCCAGTGTATGTGGCGCCCTTCCTCGACTGTGAGGCCGTCGGGGTCGATACTTTTCTGCAGGACTGGTCGAGGTGGGGTTACCTGTACCTCTTCCCGCATGTTCAGCTGTTGCTTCAGGTTCTGGCTCACCTGGAGACTTGCCAGGGAAGAGTAGTCCTCTTGGCCCCTTGGTAACTGGCCCAGCCATAGTTTCTGGCACTGCTTGCTCGGTGTCCGAACTTGGGGACTTCTCCACGGCTCCGCTTCTTTCAGTAGATTGCCCCGGTCCAGTACGTGGCTGGTTCAGTCTTCTCCGGTCTTTGCATTTGGTGTTTCTGACGCAGGTTTATCACCACTTGTATGGTGATCAGATAGCTTCGTTGATGGTGTCCCACCTGCATGTTTCGTCTTGGCAGCAGTATGAAGTCTCCTGGCAGTCCTTTCATTACTTTTTATCTCTTCTTAGGTTGTCTTCGGTTTTGGATTGGGTTGTTTTGTAGTTTCTCTCTCTTGGCTGTTTCAGGACTGTCATTTTATGCCGAATACTGTCACCTCATATCGTGCAGTGCTGGAGGAGCCGCTCCGGCTTGCGTTCGGGGTAGATGTTACTTCTGCTCTGTTTTGCAAGCTGTCTCGTGCCTTGCTTCACCTCCAGCCTGCTCATATACCACCTAAGCCATCACGGTCATTGAACCAGGTGCTCTCTTTCTGTCTACTGCTCGGTTTGTGGTGACCCCTTCAGTTTGGGATTGTTTTGATAAGGCTCTTTTCTTCTTGTTGGCATTGGCCTCAGGGGGCCGGGTCAAGGAGTTTTTTCTCTCCTCTGTCGCAGGGGTTTCTGCTTTTTCGGTCCTGGTGGTATGTTTGTTTGTTTGCAGCTATCTCCTTTTCTGGCGAAGAATGAGACGGCAGCTTTCCGGAGGGGTCCTTGGGTCGTTGATGCTTGGTTGGTTCGGCCAGGGGTGCATAATGTGTTGTGTTCGGTTGCAGATCTTCGCCATTATTTGCGCTCCACGGCCTCTGTGGCCAGGGACGCGCTTTGGCTTCACCCGGTTTCCCTTCTTCCCTGTTCCAGGGCTCGGGCTCGGGTCTCCCAGGTTGTTCCCAGGGTTATTCAGTCCAGGCAGCCTGCGGTCTATCCTCATGCCCATGAATTTTGTTTCTAAGGTTTTTTGCTTCTTTAAAATATTTGCTTCGAAAGAAATTTGCTTCTTTAGCTACAGTTTTTGGTTATATGTCTTGGGCTGACATTCGAGCATGTGGATTTTGGAGGTCGAACAGGGTCCTGGCCACCCATTACCTCATAAGTGTTTTTGGTCCTAGTCGGGTGAGTGTCGCTTTGGGTCGTAGGTTGCAGCTAGTTGTCTCGACTTCGAGTTGAGGAGCTAGTGGCGGCCGCCTTCCGGTTCCTCTTTCGGTTCCGGTTCCGGAAAGTTCCTCTTTCATTTTCTGTGATTAAGAGGGGCTCTCCTCAGAAAACTAGCGGTAAATGTAATGAAACGTCATTTTCTGGGTGAGTTCTGGAGGCTCCCCGGTAACCCTGAGAGTGGATGGCTGGCACGGGGTCTGGGGCTCCAACTTCCCTCTTCCGGCGTGGCGGTGGTTGTGATGTCATGCTTGTTTGCTTTTTTTTTTATTGGGGAGTTCTGCTTGAGAGTTCGGCTTTCAGTATCAATCGTTAACCAGGTGGGGTTTGTTTTGGGACGCTTACCTTTCTGGGTGCCTAACCCGGTAGATGACAGACATGGAATGCCTCCAACCAAACTAAATAAACTAAATAAACTAAATGGGTAGAACACCTGGAGAGAAATGATATAATATCAGACAGACAGTATGGTTTTCGTTCTGGAAGATCCTGTGTATCGAATTTACTCAGTTTCTATGATCGAGCCACAGAGATATTTCAGGAAAGAGATGGTTGGGTTGACTGCATCTATTTGGACCTAAAAAAGGCTTTCGACAGAGTTCCACATAAGAGGTTGTTCTGGAAACTGGAAAATATTGGAGGGGTGACGGGTAAGCTTCTAACATGGATGAAAAATTTTCTGACTGATAGAAAAATGAGGGCAGTAATCAGAGGTAATGTATCGGAATGGAGAAATGTCACAAGTGGAGTACCACAGGGTTCAGTTCTTGCACCAGTGATGTTTATTGTGTACATAAATGATCTACCAGTTGGTATACAGAATTATATGAACATGTTTGCTGATGATGCTAAGATAATAGGAAGGATAAGAAATTTAGATGATTGTCATGCCCTTCAAGAAGACCTGGACAAAATAAGTATATGGAGCACCACTTGGCAAATGGAATTTAATGTTAATAAATGTCATGTTATGGAATGTGGAATAGGAGAACATAGACCCCACACAACCTATATATTATGTGAGAAATCTTTAAAGAATTCTGATAAAGAAAGAGATCTAGGAGTGGTTCTAGATAGAAAACTATCACCTGAGGACCACATAAAGAATATTGTGCAAGGAGCCTATGCTATGCTTTCTAACTTCAAAATTGCATTTAAATACATGGATGGCGATATACTAAAGAAATTGTTCATGACTTTTGTTAGGCCAAAGCTAGAATATGCAGCTGTTGTGTGGTGCCCATATCTTAAGAAGCACATCAACAAACTGGAAAAGGTGCAAAGACATGCTACTAAGTGGCTCCCAGAACTGAAGGGCAAGAGTTACGAGGAGCGGTTAGAAGCATTAAATATGCCAAAACTAGAAGACAGAAGAAAAAGAAGTGATATGATCACTACGTACAAAATAGTAACAGGAATTGATAAAATCGACAGGGAAGACTTCCTGAGACCTGGAACTTCAAGAACAAGAGGTCATAGATTTAAACTAGCTAAACACAGATGCCGAAGAAATATAAGAAAATTCACCTTCGCAAATAGAGTGGTAGACGGTTGGAACAAGTTAAGTGAGAAGGTGGTGGAGGCCAAGACCGTCAGTAGTTTCAAAGCGTTATATGACAAAGAGTGCTGGGAAGACGGGACACCACGAGCGTAGCTCTCATCCTGTAACTACACTTAGGTAATTACACTTAGGTAATTACCACAGGAGGATTTCTAAAGGCCATTGCTCCTCATGCCTCTCTGAGGAAGCCAGGTTCTGCCTCGTGGTCCCTGGTAGGCTAAAACTCCAATCGAATTGACTGATGCCACGGTCTAATACATTCATATTGGCCCGGTATAGCTCCAGGGAGCTTCTGGGACACGCCCAGAAAATGGCATTTCATTACATTAAATGCTGTTTTTTTTTTTTTTATCTGTAGTGTGTGTGTGTGTGTGTGTGTGTGTGTGTGTGTGTGTGTGTGTGTGTGTGTGTGTGTGTGTGTGTGTGTGTGTGTGTGTGAAATTCTGCGTGTGTGAAATTCTGCGTGTGTGGTGATTTTTTGCATTTTGAACATTAAAGTAATTATTATATATCACGTAATGAGTCCCAGGAAAGTCAGTGGTAAGGCTCAACATATGAAAACCCATGTAAGGATGACCATACAGAAGAAACAAGAGTACAGAATGTCTCTTCCTCAACAATTAAGAAAATGTGTGCAGCATGGGTAGAATTGCAAACCTTTGCTGAAATGACTTGCCCAAATCAAGCTTCAGTAGGCCGTTGCCTTAACCTATTCAATGACACTGTGATGCATCATTACAGACAAATGTTAAAACGAAGTGAAAAACTAATGTCTCTTGACAAATTTGTAGTGAGACAAACAAGCACTGAACCACAACCAGGACCTAGTGGTATTCAGGCAAAACATAGGAGAGAGAGAGTAGCCCAGAGAAAACATCACTGCCTGATGTGATAATGGAAGGGGACTCCCCTTCCAAACAGTAACAACTCTCCTCCTCCTCCCCCCCTCATCACCATCTTCCATACGCCATCAAGAGCCTTCCATAAAGGTAAGATCAACTTAGGTACTGTATTGTAGTTAGAAAAAAACATTGTATTCAGTATAAAATGTATTTGTATGTTAATATTTTGGAGGGTGGGGAACGGATTAATTCAAATCCCTTTATTTCTTATGGGAAAAATCGCTTCGACTTACGATATTTCGACTTACGATCTGTCTCTGGGAACTGATTAGCATCGTAAGTCGAGGCTCCATTGTATGTCCTTATCAGCCTGGATAGCTCCGGAAGCCTCCGGGTCTCGTCCAGAAAATGGAATTTCATTACATTCAGCGCTGGTTTTTTATTTTATGGTTTTTAATTTTGTCTTCCAAATGTTTTGATTTTCAACTCATACTTACATGTTACATTTATATTTTTCCTAGAGTTGATGAGATTGGTTTGGAATACAGTACTGTATATTGTTTTACTTTTTCAGGAACCTTTGTAATATAATGGCAGAATCAGAACTTACAAGCATTAGTGACAATTGTGTTGAAATGAACACTCCTGATGTGATTAGTGGAACTCTGGAGAAAATTGGAGAGCCAAAGATCTCTAGTGGATCTGGTATTGTACAAGATAAAGCACCCTCAGAGCCTACTGAAGTAGATAAAGAATTTAATGAAAAAAATGAAATTAAAGAAGTAACAAAGACAATGTTATATGATGTGAATATAAAGAATGAAGAACCCCTTACAAGTGATGCTGGACAAGCAGAGGTAGATAACAATAAAGTCAGCATTGTCAAAAAACAGCCAAATGAAAACCAAGAGGGAAATACAGTGTGTCAACCGGAATTAACTTCCAGCCATGATTATGAATTAGTTGAAGGGCATTATTATTATACAGATAATACATCAGGACAAAGATATAAATTTGATGCAAATGCTGGTGAATGGGTTATGAACAGTGAAGAGAAAGAAAATGAAAATAAGGATGAACAAAAAATAACTAGAGACAGTGAAGGAAGGACTTATTACTATGCAGAAAACATGTACCTGTGCAAAGACCCTTTTGGAAACGTATTTTACTTGAATGACAATCATGAGTGGAAGCCATGGTCAGAAAGGGTAGCTTCCTGTGCTGACTCGGGTGAAGAACAAAACACTTCAAAATGGTATTTTTATCAAGGTGATTCAATGTTTTATAGAGATAACTTGTCAAACATTGTATACAAGTTAAATAAAGAAAGCAATACATGGGAAGTATATGAAGGAAAGTTGAAAAGAAAAAAACCACGGATTGATGAAGAGGAAGAATTCGACACTGACGAAGAAGATTCGGATGAAGAATTTGGTAATGGTTTACAGCCTCCTGGTGCAAGAAGTGACCCGAACATTAACTATGATGGTGTAATGTACACAAAACTTGACCCAAGTGACAATATGATGTACGAATGGGATGCAAACAGACGGGCATGGTTTCCCAAGGTACGGTAATTTAATATATTTGTTTATTTCTTAGTTTGTTATTATCTACTGTAATTGTATTTGATTTTGATTTCTACGGTACTTCTCATATTCACTTTCATATTCAAAATCCATTCCCCTTCCACTTTTTCACATCGTTAGTCTTCAAGAAATTTACATTTTGTGTTGTCCTTAGTTTAAATCTATGCCCTGTGTTGCTATTCACTGCTCATCTTAATATTTATTCTGATTTTGTGTTCTTTAAATTAGTTTGCCTCTTCAATCACTTTACTATCTAGCTGCTTACTGTTTGTTGAGCTTCATATTTTTGTTGTAGACACCAAATGACAACAGCATATTTTAGCATTAGTCTAACGTAGGTTGTTAGTATTTATTCATCTATTTGTACATGATGACTATATGGCAGCTAATAGAGAACATCTGGGTTGTGAAGTGCTATTTGTGTCACCAGGTGATGGCTTTGAAGATTAAATAAGATACTAAAGATCCCATTCACTGATATGATTATAAAACTAGTGGGTTACAGAACAGTGCTTCATCAAAAATGTATATCTTCATATAATATATCCCTCACATAAGTAAACAAAGTTTGCCTATTGGCTCTCCCATCCAAGTTTTGAATTAGTCTACTGAAGTTCATTTACACCAGTTAGGGATCATGGCCCTTCCTTAAAAAATAAGGTTTAAAGACTTGATGCTGCGAAGTACTGGAGATGAATTTTAAATCTTTTTATAGTCAGGTTCTCCTTGTAGATGACCATCATATGATAGGTTACAATTCAAATTTTGTTCTGTGAAATTTGCCAGTTAAGTGTGGTAACAAACAGGTAACAAATTGGTAACAAATAGGATATGAATGATAACTGCTTTAAAATTGCTTTGATTTTTTTTTAATAGATGAACACAGCACTAAGAACTAGTTGATACCCTTGGGAAAATCATTGCAAACATTTAGAACAAAATTCTATGGTTTATTTTCATATTGAATTGGTACCATTTTTCAGTACACAGGTATGGACCCAGCTACCTTTGAAAATAAAGTTGCAAGGCTTGGAATTATTTTAACCCTTAGTGGTTTTTGTTGTCCTTGTTTGCCTCTGGGTAGAAGGTAGTTTTCGTCACTGGTAGGGTCGTAGGGTACTGTGCAGCTAGTTTTCACCTCTCATAGCGGTCGGCTATGTTCCATCTGGGTACGTTGTCCTCTTGCGGGGTTTTCTTTTTCTTTTTGTTTTCTTGCCTGGTAGGGGGTCTGCCTTTGGTTGTTGCCCCCGGTGTATATAGCATACACTTCTCTGTTTCTGGTGGTATTCCCTGCTAGGTCCTCGTGAGTGTACACGTCCCGGGGATTCATTTTCTTAGAAAGTTGTTAGTAGACTTGGGCGCCAGCTAGCAATACACGGGTCCGATGGATATGACCCCCCCGAGTGACCCCCTCGCTTTGTGCGAGTTTGAGGATGGCTCTGTCCCCTTGTCTCAGGGTGACTCATTGTTTTTGCCTCCGTCACGCTCCCTGCTGAGTCGGTAATACTTTCGACCCAGAGTCCTGCGAGTTTTATTGCTTGCTGGTGACTCAGTTTACCCAGTTTACTAATGACAATATTTGGGTACAGGCGGCGCAGGGGTTGCACGTCAGGTTTATGTTGTTGCAACACGCTCGGTTGGTTGTTGAGCCAGAAGCCCCGAGGCTGCCCGTTTTGGTTATAGGGACCTGGACTTGGGGGGGGGGGGGGGGCTTTGGCCTTGGTTCAGTCCACATCCGCCTCGTCCTTTCCCTGCTGCGGTTCAGTCTGGCCCCCCTCCCCCCCCCCCCCCCCCCCCCCTTGCCTGCTTCCGACTCCGAAACGTCTGAGGGTTTCGGGGTCAGGGCAGGGTTTAGATGGTGGTGTAACTCAGGTGGTCTCGGGGGATGCCCCTTCCGGGTCGGCGACAGAGGCATTCGAGTCTTTCCTCCCTGCCGAAGCGTCTGGGTCTGACCAGTGGGCTCGTTTTCTTACGGGCTTCTATGGCAGCACCCTTTTCTTTTGAGGCCAGGGCTTTGGGAGATGACTCGGCCCTTGGGCCTGATACGGTGGTTCCTGGGATGGGGGAGGGGACTGACTTGGGGGTCTTCGGCCCCATTTGACCCCCGTCTGGGTTTTTCTACCCACTGAGCAGGGCTTACTGTTACAAGGCGTGAGGGTTTCCCCCTCTGTGTACGAATTGGATTTGGTGTCTGCCCCTCCCCGGGTTCGCTTGAGTGGCGTGAGTCGTTGACGATGGTCCAGGTTTTCCTGGGGGGTGAGTTTGAGCACCTCAATGAGTGCTTGTTCACCCCTGCCCTTCCTCGGGATGTGAGTGTTGTGCAGCTTCACATACAGGTTCCCTCCCTTTCGGCTGCGCTGGTTGCTGAGGGCGTGCGCGTTCGTGGCCTGCTGGCTTTGGCTTTGCATCTCTTTTCTCTCCTGGAGCTGTCTGTAGACTGGTTTGAGGAGGATGTGGAGGTGCTTGGGGCCATTCCTGGGTCAAGCGCCTTGGGCTCGGCAGCGCATGCGTTGTCTGCCTTGTTTAAGCTCTTTGCGCTGATCCTGCGGGATGCAGTGTTACTGTTTTATGCACCCCGGCTCATGTGCTGGCTGGCGGTGCTTGCTTCCTCCTTGGAATCTACTTGGGCCTTGGCTCTTTGAATATCTTCGCCCTTTTTATCCTTTGCTGTTTGCTGATTCTGCGGTGGCGAAGTATCTGCAGGCGGCTTTAGCTAGCTGTCGTCTGTTGTCCGACTTGTTGGTTCTCTGGGGATCCCGGGGGGGGGGGGGGAGGCTTTCCTTGAGGAGTCTTGCCAGAGCTTGGGGTTCCGTTCATCGTGGTTGGCCACTGGTGCCAGTTTCAGAGCCGGTGCCATTTTCAAACCCATCTTCGTGTGGTCGGTGGGGGTGTTCGCTCTGTGTGGAGCTCAGATTCTTGTAGGGGGGTGTCGGCCCTTTTGAGGTTCATCCCATTGATGGGGGGAGGGGGAGGGAAAGAGGCTTGCTGTGTTTGCTTATGCCTGGTCCCACGATTTGTGGGTTTTTCGGTTTGTTTTTGATGGTCTGTGGTGGCGTTGGGTAGCTCCGCCCCCTGCCCTCGGGGGGCTCGGGGCTCGCTTGGCAGGCCTCTTCTCCTGCGTTCTGTTGGGTCATCTTGGAGTAGGTGCGCTTGGGTGTGGAAGAAGCGCGCTTGGGTGTGGAAGAAGCGACAAAGTCTTTCAGATGGGGTTCCCCGTCTGTTCCCTGCCCTGAAACGGGACTGTGCGACCTGCTGTTCATTCTGGACTTGTCCTGTCTGAACCCCTGGGTTCATTGCCCCCTCCTTTCAGATGACTACTGTCCCAGGTCCAGCTTCTGTTGGAACCGGGTGCTTGGATGGTGTCCCTGGACCTGTAGGACGGTATTGGCACGTCCTGATTCATCCGGGGTTCAGGGACAGGTTCAGCTCGGTTTTGTTGTGGGGCGTCAGAGTTACCACTTTTGTTGTCTCCCGTTTAGGTTGAACCTGGCACCTTGCGTTTTCACACACCTTACGCGGGTCGTGGTAGTCTGTCTGCATCTCTTAGGTGTTCGGGTGCTGGCCTACCTCAACAACTGGCTGGTCTGGGCTCCCAGCCGGTGCGCTTGTCTGCTCGCCAGGAATTTGGTTCTTTCCCAGCTCGCCGGGGTCGGGTTCCTGGTGAACTGGAGGAAGTCCCATTTGGTTCCCTCCCAGGTTTGGACTTGGCTGGGTCTTGTTTGGGACTCTCAGATCGTTGCCTTGTCTCTCCCTCCGGAGTCTTCCCTCTGGCTGTGGTCCCGCCTTTGCCTGTTTCTTGGGGGCTCCTGGGTCACTTGGCGGCTGCTTGAGGGTTTGTGTGGGAGCCTGAACTTTGCCGTGATGGTCTACCCACCGGGTCAGGTTCGGCTTCATCAGCTATTCTGGTTCCTTTGGAGCCATCCCTTCCGCCTCTCTCACGATCGCTGGGTTCGACCGCCGGGGGGCCTTGTGTGGGTTGCTGCATCACTGGCTGCTTCTACAGGTTTTTCGGGGGTTCAGTGCCTTGGCACCTACTGGAGCCCTAGCTCGATGTGTTCACAGATGTGTCTCTGGGCTGAGGCTTTGTGATCAGTGCTCACCACGCCGGCCAGGGGCGGAGGGTCCATCCTTCTGTCAAGCCCACAGCACGGTGCGGGAGTTTGCAATGGTGTGATATTTCTTTCGGAGGGTTCAATCGCCTGCGGATTGACGATCTGGCTCTATTCGGACTGCTCCCCCAATGGTTCATTGTCTGAACTGAGGGGGGTCCGTTGCGGTCCTTGGGTCTTTGGGGTTGGTCGCTTAGGGTGATTCATCTGCTGAGTTCTCAGAGTTTGGCTCTCCTGGCAGTTCACGTTCAGGGGGGTGTCCAACGTTCTGACTGACGGCCTGTCTTGGTTGATTTCCCTGTCCTTGGAATGGACAGTTGACGCCGACTCCTTCAGTTGGCTCTGCCAGACGTTCGGGCGCCCGGATGTGGACCTCTTCGCATTGGCGTGGTTGAGGCGTCTTCTGGTATATGTAGCGCCCTTTCCCAACTGTGAGACCGTCAGGGTCGATTTCTTTCGGCCGGGCTGGTCGAGGTTGGGGTTCCTGGCTCGCTTGAAGACTTACCAGGGGAGAGTAGTCCTCTTGGCCCCATGGTGGCCGGCCCAGCCTTGGTTTCAGACGCTGCTTGCTCGGTGTCCCAACCCGGAGGTTTTCCCTTGGCACCTCTTCTTTCAGCAGCTTGGTCCGGTCCGTCATGTGGCTTGTTCGATCTTCTCCTCGAATCTTCGCGTTTGTTCTTTTTTACTACAGTTTATCACCATCTGTATGATGGTCAGGTGGCGTCCTTTGTGTTCCACCTGCGGGACTTAATCTCGCAGAGCTGCGCAGACGGCGGCGGGGCGACGTGGTGACGTTATGCTCATTTGCTTGTTTTTGTTTGGGGAGTTCTGTCCACTAGTTCAGCTCTAGGAAAGCAATTTCTAAACCAGAATAAGGGTTTGTTGTGGGATGCTTACCTTTCTGGGTGCCTGATCCGGTCGATGGCAGACATAGAATGCTTCCAACCACATGAGGGTTTCTGTAGGCCATTGCTCCTCTCGCCTTTCTGAGAGGGGCCAGGTTATGGCTCGTTGTCCTGAGTAGGCCTAAGAGCTCCATTCACTGACTAATACCAATGTCTAATATTAGCAATATCACCCTGGATAGCTCCGGGGAGCCTCCGGGTCTCGGCCAGAAAATGGCATTTCATTACATTCAATGCTGGTTTTATGAGGATAAATTCCAATTACTGCGCTTTGGAAAAAACTTAAACATCAAAGTCCAAACCACATATAAATATGTCGAACCACGCCATTGAAAGAAAAAAAAATGTAAATGATTTAAGAGTAATCATATCGGATGACCTTACCTTCAAAGAACACAATGCAGTTGCTGTCACAACTGCAAGAAAAATAACAGGTTGAATAACGAGGACCTTCCAAATAAGATATTCCACACCAGTGATGATACTTTTTAAGGCATTAGTGCTCTCTGCAATGGAATATTGTTGCACTAACAGCCCTATTCAAAGCTGGAAAAATTGCTGACCTGGAGAGCATGCAGAGATCATTTACTGCTAAAATTCACTCAATAAAACATCTTAATTTTTGGGACCACCTAAAAATGTTAAATCTGTATTCCCTAAAGTGCAGGTAGGAGTTTTTATATATATGATATGATATAATATGATGCATAATAATTTATAAATGGAAAAAATTATAGGGACTGGTTCCAAATCTGCACACAGAAATAACACCACACGAGACCAGAAGGCATGGCAGGATGTGAAAAATAGCCCCCATTGAAAAGCAGGTACAATAGGCATGCTGAGAGAGAACTCAATCAATATCAAAGATCCAAGACTTTTCAACACTTTCCCTAAACATATGCAGCCTGTCCTCTAAACAAAGGCCCAAAGTCCATTCCATGCACCCGCCAAACCTCCTGTTTATGAATGGAAAAACGGTTTACACACTACTCGCAACTGATGACGTCCGAACATTTCCGGAACAAGTGCTTCGTTGACGACTTTTGTTTGAACTACATTGCTGTAAATACTTCACCCATGTACTACAAATAATTGCAAAGGAACTTAACATTTAACTTAACCTAACCAATTCCTAAATATACACAGTTTACTGATATATAACAATATTAATTTATACTTGAGAAAATTGCTATTTTTATTGAACAGCAAGTTAAAATTGATGAATGTTTCTATGGGGTCTACCGCTGGATGGAATGGACTTGGTCTGAAGATGGGTTGACATGTGGGCCATAATTGGCCGACCTCTCGCAGTGTTCAAAAGAGAACCCAATAAGCATCTTCAAAGGATACCTGATCAACCAGGCTGTGACTCATACATCAGGCTGCAAGCAGCTGCATCAAACAACCTGGATGATCAGACCAGCAACCAGGAGGCTTGGTTAGAGACTGGACTGCGGGAACGTTGATGCTCGGAATCATCGACAGATTCTAGTTTCCATGTTGAATTTGGGAATGGCTTGTATAACATTAAAATTACATAGGCTTCACTTTAGATTTGAATTAATTTACATGAAGTTGATTCCCTTTCATTGACTGTATATTGTTTGATTGGTATGATGGCAATAAAGCTTTGTTATACAGTATACATTATTTTGCTCAGTTTATACCATTAGTCACAGTTTTGTAGTGTGAGAACCATGCTTGCTTTAATGTTGCTTTAGTCAGGGTTGCTTAAATTAATTGTAATAATTTTATTTCAAGGTTGATGAGGATTTCATGGCTACTTACCAGCTATCATATGGCTTTAACCCAGACGGGACCAAAAATTTAAACCCACTTAAGTTTGATGATGGAGAAGAAGAAGCAGCAGCAGCAAGATTAGCTGAAGAAGAAGAAAAAAAAGCTAAGGCAAAACTTAATCAAGTAAAAAAGAAACCAAGTGAGATTACTATATAATGTATCTTATTTTATATAAATTGTTTATTCTGTTTGGCTTATTCATGAATTCAAAAATGTCTTTTTTTTTAATGAAAGGTTGTTTTTATATGTACATTTGTACTTTTGAATCAAGTGACAAGTGCAGGTACATGTACATTGTACATGTACCCACACTTGTGGAAACATTGTAGAAATTTAAAGGACATTGTAGTTTTTACAGTGTTAAGGACAGTCTGTCAGTGAAAATTAGTGTAAACTGAGGTAAGGAGAGGTGCAGTGGATTTGCATTGTAACCAGCCATTAACAACCACTCTTAACCAGTTGTGACAGTTGCGATAAGATTTGAGAATTAAGTGGTAGTCTTCAGGGAAAAGCCAATGATGTGGTTACTGTGGTAGCCTTCAGGGAGAGGACACTTAATCTTGCAATGAGAGCCTGTCGTTCTCAATTGTTGCAAGTTCTTCATACAGTCATCAGTAGGTAATGAGGACCTGCATCTGCAGTTAATTTGAGTAGTGACTTTGCATATTGGAGCCCCAGAATTAACCTCCTTTGTTTCTCTAATTTCCTGGATGATGAGAAAAAAGGAATTGTTGCTGCAATTCATTTGACCAGGTAGCTATCCAAGCTAATATCGCTAATGTCAGACTTTGGCATCAGTCATGTGTATGGAGTTCTGTGGGTCTATCGGGGACCACGAGCCAGAACCTGACCCGCCTCAGAGAGGCATGAGGAGCAATGGCCTATAGAAACCCCCGAGTGGTTGGAAGTATTCTATGTCTGCCATTGACCGGGTCAGGCATCCAGAAAGATAGGCATCCCCCCAAAAAACCTATTCTGGCGAAAATTGCTACAAATGCCAAACTAGTGGATAGAACTTCGCAAACAGAAATGAGCAAAGGAGCATGATGTCACGCAGCGCCACAACACTGTGCAGCTTCACCTCCCCCCCCCCCCTGAGAGGGGGAAGAGGGAGCCCCAGACCCTGCACTGGCAATCCACACCCCAGTTCTGAGGCTGGATATCTAGATATCTAAAATGCGAACAAAACGCTGACCAGAGGGAGGAAGGGTTGCTTGGGAGCCTCCGGATCTCGTCCAGAAAATGGCGTTTCATTACATTCAACGCTAGCATTCTGGGGGGGATTCCCTTTGGCTCCCCGGAGCTACCTCCTAACAGATGAACACCGGAGGGACTTGCCCGGGAGGCGGTCGCTGTTCACTCTTCAACGCGAAGCAGAGACAACTGGCTGCAACCGCCGACCCAAAGCAACACAGGCCCGACTAGGCCCAGGAATGTTCTCCAAGTAACGCTTAGCCAGGACTCTATTCGACCTCCAAAATCCCCGCGGCCGAATGTCGGCGGCTGGCGTCATTGATGGAGTGAGTGGCAGCGAGAGGCTGGCTGGCAGATGTGGTGGCCACTCCTCGTTGCTTTTTGACTCGCAATGTTAACTTGGTGGTTCGTTATGGTGAACAAAACATGCAGATACTGTACTTGTATATAACCTGTGTATATAGTGTAATAACCGACAAAGTATTTGTTTATTGTTTTATGAACACAATAATTGAATCAATAATATGCACACCATAATTTTGAGTACAGCGATGATTCACACATTTTATTATATAAATATATCACTACACACCATTGAAAAATATTACAGCAAAAAAAAAAAAAAAAAATTAATCGGAGACATTGAAATAATTAGGTAAATATATCTTTGTGGCAACTCCTGCCTGACAACTGGGGCAGAGCAGACTGCCTCGGATGCTTGCTGAGTCAGCGCCTCTTTTTTTGCCTGACTTTCCTGCCCAATTGTGGCCAAAATATGCCACTTACGATTTTTTATTTTTTCCCCGTGATCAGGGAACACAAATTAACAGGTTTATAAGAGAAAAAAATTTGGAAACCTGGGAAAAAAAACCCAGGCTGCGGTGGGTTTCCCGTAGGGCTTATTCGTTCTACGGGCCCTGGAAAACCCCTCTGGGCTCAGTCGTACCATGGTACTTCTTCCGAGCTCACTCTCACATTGGGCAAACTTATGGGTTGTCGGACACCCCTGCCTCAGGAAGTCCGGCGTCCATCCTGCCTCTGTCATACTGGCTGTGGGTTGGGGACACCTGCGACCCGGGGTCTGGTGAGATTTGTTCCCCACTTGTGCTCCAATTACTCCTCCCTTCTTTAGTGATATTTGGGATCAGGCAGCAGCTGCATTGCATGATCAGTTCTCCTTATTGCAATGAGCTAGGTTGGTTGCCTAGTTGAAGGTCCTGAAGCTGGCCCGCTTGGGTTTGTGGGACTCGGTTTGTAGGCGTTGGTCGTTTCGACCTTAATTCAATCCGTGCCTCCTCTTCCTTCCCAAATGTGCGTGGTTTGCCCTGCTCCACCTTTCCTGCTTCCAGCTCCAAAACGTCTTGAGGGTTTCAAGAGTTGGGGCGGGGTTTCACTCTGGGGAAGGCTTGGGTGGCTTCGGGGGCTGTCCATTCCAGTAATTACCTAAGTGTAATTGCCTAAGTGTAGTTACAGGATGAGAGCTACGCTCGTGGTGTCCCGTCTTCCCAGCACTCTTTGTCATATAACGCTTTGAAACTACTGACGGTCTTGGCCTCCACCACCTTCTCACTTAACTTGTTCCAACCATCTACCACTCTATTTGCGAAAATGAATTTTCTTATATTTCTTCGGCATCTGTGTTTAGCTAGTTTATATCTATGATCTCTTGTTCTTAAAGTTCCAGGTCTCAGGAAATCTTCCCTATCGATTTTATCAATTCCTGTTACTATTTTGTATGTAGTGATCATATCATCTCTTTTTCTTCTGTCTTCCAGTTTTGGCATATTTAATGCCTCTAACCTCTCTTTGTAGCTCTTGCCCTTCAGTTCTGGGAGCCACTTAGTAGCATGTCTTTGCACCTTTTCCAGTCTGTTGATGTGCTTCTTAAGATATGGGCACCACACAACCGCTGCATATTCTAGCTTTGGCCTAACAAAAGTCGTGAACAATTTCTTTAGTATATTGCCATCCATGTATTTAAAAGCAATTCTGAAGTTAGAAAGCATGGCATAGGCTCCTCGCACAATATTCTTTATGTGGTCCTCAGGTGATAGTTTTCTATCTAGAACCACCCCTAGATCTCTTTCTTTATCAGAATTCTTTAAAGATTACTCACATAATATATAGGTTGTGTGGGGTCTATGTTCTCCTATTCCACATTCCATAACATGGCATTTATTAACATTAAATTCCATTTGCCAAGTGGTGCTATCTTGAGGTTATCTTGAGATGATTTCGGGGCTTTAGTGTCCCCGCGGTCCGGTCCTCGACCAGGCCTCCACCCCCAGGAAGCAGCCCGTGACAGCTGACTAACACCCAGGTACCTATTATACTGCTAGGTAACAGTGCCATACGGTGAAAGAAACTCTGCCCATTGTTTCTCGCCGGCGCCTGGGATCGAACCCAGGACCACAGGATCACAAGTCCAGCGTGCTGTCCGCTCGGCCGACCAGCTCCCTATACTTATTTTGTCCAGGTCATCTTGAAGGGCATGACAATCATCTAAGTTTCTTATCCTTCCTATTATCTTAGCATCATCAGCAAACATGTTCATATAATTCTGTATACCAACTGGTAGATCATTTATGTAGACAATAAACATCACTGGTGCAAGAACTGAACCCTGTGGTACTCCACTTGTGACATTTCTCCATTCCGATACATTGCCTCTGATCACTGCCCTCATTTTTCTATGTCAGAAAATTTTTCATCCATGTTAGAAGCTTACCTGTCACCCCTCCAATATTTTCCAGTTTCCAGAACAACCTCTTATGTGGAACTCTGTCGAAAGCCTTTTTTAGGTCCAGATAGATGCAGTCAACCCAACCATCTCTTTCCTGTAATATCTCTGTTGCTCGATCATAGAAACTGAGTAAATTCGATACACAGGATTTTCCAGATTGAAAACCATACTGTCTGTCTGATATATAATTTCTCTCCAGGTGTTCTACCCATTTAGTTTTAATTATTTTTTCCAATATTTTGACTATTACACTTGTCAATGATACCGGTTTATAATTAAGGGGGTCTTCTCTGCTTTGTACTAACTTCCCTGTTAGTTGGATGATGATGTGTTGGTTTGTTTCCTTTCTGAGGGAGTTCTTTTGAGCTTGTGAGGACATAGCTTGCAATTTTCAACCAGACAGTAGTCTGTCTTCATTCACCTACCTTTCTGGGTCCTTCACCAGTCGATGGAAAGATGACATACCTTAAATATAAAATGTCAATGGCCATTGCTCCCTTCGTCTCTCTGAGGGGGCTAGGTTCTGGCTCATTGCCCTCGGTAGGCTTAAAAGGACTCTGCAACTGATGACACTCGAGTAGTATGGCACTTGATCAGTAAGATAGCTTCAGGGAGCCTCTGGGGCTCGCCCAGAAACTGGTGTTTAATTACATTGAATGCTCTTTTTTGTGTTGATATGGTGCCATGTCAATGTTACTTGTACATTCTTCTATTGTGACTATCCAAAAGAAAATTGACAATTTTGATGCAAACATTGAAACTACTGTGCTGTGTGTTATTGTGAAATGCAGTTCAACATACTTAAGATTATGGTAAATTAATTCACTTAGATAGCATAATTAAAGTGAATTGTCACCCGCTCTTTGTGCCTCGCAGAGGGGCCTCGTAGCCTGGTGGATAGCGCGCAGGACTCGTAATTCTGTGGCGCGGGTTCGATTCCCGCACGAGGCAGAAACAAATGGGCAAAGTTTCTTTCACCCTGAATGCCCCTGTTACCTAGCAGTAAATAGGTACCTGGGAGTTAGTCAGCTGTCACGGGCTGCTTCCTGGGGGTGGAGGCCTGGTCGAGGACCGGGCCGCGGGGACACTAAAGCCCCGAAATCATCTCAAGATAACCTCAAGATAATCTCAAGATAGCCTCTGTGAGGGGGGGCTAGGTTTTGGTTCTGGTTCCCAGTAGGCAAAACTGAATTCCCACATCTGATGTGACCCATTTGCATAGATTAATCTTGGCAAGATAGCTTCAGGAAACCACCTAGGGCTTTCCCCAGACAAGAATTTTGTTCCATGTATCTATATTTCAGCAGCATATTACTCCTGTATGCAACAATTTATCACATATCATGTGCTATTTGTATTGTTTTCATTAAATATTTGTTATCTTTACAGCCTGGTTTGAAATGGATGATGATCACAATACCAAAGTTTATGTGAGCAACCTTCCTGACTCTATGACAGAACATGAATTTATTGAATTGATGCAAAAATGTGGCATGATTCTTAAAGATATTGATACAAATAAACCGAAGATTAAAATGTATCGAGATGAAGAGGGAAACTTCAAAGGAGATGCACTTTGTACTTACATAAAGGTATGATTTCTTATAAGTTTTAAGCTACTATATTATTAAGAGTTCATATACCAGTACCGTATGTAATATTATTAACTGTATTTCTGTAGTTTTCAGTATGTGAATTTGCTTTGGTTAATATGCATTTTCTGTGGGTAGCCTAGTCGGCTCCCTGAAGCTATCCCACTGATGTAGTGCTATCCTATTTGGGGTCACCAGTCAGAGTTCTTGTTGCCTACCGAGGACCAACACCAGAACCTGGCCCCCCACCCCCCCCTCACGAGGCACAGAGAGCAATGGCTTATGAGCACTTTACACTTAAAGTGTGTCATACTCGCTCTTACCTGGGACGCAGTCAGGTCAAGACGTACCTGCTCCGCGACTAGGGGTGAAGTTAGTATTGGAGTTTAGCTCAGTCTACACATAAGGAGACTGACTAATATCAACCACATTCTACACATCTTCCCCCATACTGGGTACTGAGATGGAGAATGGGTCAACAGAGGGACTGGCTACTCCCCACGGCAATACTGACATGAATACAGACTCTGAAAGCAGCCAGTCAGTTGAGGAGCGTAATATTCAGGAAGTGCTAACCAGGGGACAGAAGAAACGGAGAAGACAGGACAGGCTTAGTTTTGACAGTGATAGTGTACATAACGGAAATGACATGAGAATGAAGAACGACGCCGAGACTGATCAAACCAGTGTCGACGAAAGGACAGAATGATGTCAGGAAGGTGACGGTCAGTGGAGGTGGAGGCTTCTCTTCCCTGCCTCCTGCACACTGACCTACCACAACAACTTTGGAAGAGAACACCGCAAGTTCGAGCCCCTGCTGAAGGAAGGTGTGAACAGTCCTTACCTAACGGTAGGTTAAGGTTCATATAGTAAGTATACATATAATATTATAAATATATGCATATGATATTATAAAGAGTAAAATTACTGAAATCAAAAAGTGATCCATACAGTGAAGCACAAATACAATACAATACATCAGACAATGGAAATGTGTGGCGAGTGTTCAGAAGTATTGGGAAGACGTACTGTAGGCGTCAAGTGTTGCATCTGTAACAAGATTTCACTTAATACCATGGGAGCCGGTTGGCCGAGCGGACAGCACGCTGGACTTGTGATCCTGTGGTCCTGGGTTCGATCCCAGGCGCCGGCGAGAAACAATGGGCAGAGTTTCTTTCACCTTATGCCCCTGTTACCTAGCAGTAAAATAAGTACCTGGGTGTTAGTCAGCTGTCACGGGCTGCTTCCTGGGGGTGGAGGCCTGGTCGAGGACCGGGCCGCGGAGACACTAAAAAGCCCTGAAATCATCTCAAGATAACCTCACCTGGGCTGTGCAGGCATCTTCAGGATGCACAAACAGGCAAGGAATTTACTGGGTTTGCAAAGATGACAGGTTAATGTGGGAGAACATAACTAAACTGATGAAAAACATTTCCGAGTCACAAAGATTATCATTCACAGAAAAGCTACCAATGATATATGCGGACTGGGAAAAGAAAACACTGGATAACGACCAAAACTCAGGAACAGGTAGTTTAAAGAACCGCAGCAATAGTGTGGAAGAAGAGGGTATTGTGGTATAAAACAACAGCAATATTACAGAGCCAGGTAATATAAACAATGAGTGCAACAATGAGACAGTGCATAAATGAAGGACTTGGGACGAAAGATGGAGATGGCTCCAATAAAGAGGTAGACAAGACAGGCACAGGTATTTCAAGGTATACCTTGAAAAACATAAAAAACTGAAAATATTTGCAAATTTTAGGCTCAAAGAATATGCAAATATGGAAAATTAGAAGCAAAATGCAATTTTCTGCATCCTTGAAAATGCAGGAACATGTTGGCGAGGGGTACATGCCGTTTTGGAACGGGGTGTAGATACTTCCACCCTAAATTATGTCAATTTTCAATTAGGGACAAAAAATGCTACAACCTTCAGTCTCCGGAATTCCACGTGAGAGGTACACAGCGTTATAGATGGGAAGATCAATATGACACTACTGGAAATTTGTTAGAGGAAGGCAGAAACAAAGTAGAAAATATAAGAGAGGAACAGTCAGATGGAACCACTGCAGGATTACAGAGGGGAAGGGAGATAACCACAAGACTCTAATACAAATTATCAACAAGTACACAGGTACTACACCACACAACACCCGTCCTACTACCAAAACAACACACCAGAAAAGACACGCAATGTGGGAAATCATTCATATTTGCAAACATACAAGGCTTGAAATCAAAATCAAGAAATAAAGTTAAGTTCATAAATGGCCTTCTAATAGAATCAAACTCGATATTTGGTGCATTTATAGAAACCCACACAAAAGACCACATGGATAGTGAAATCTGGATTCCGAATTATAATCTATATAGATGTGACAGAGTAATTAGGTCAAGTGGAGGAGTAGGTCTGTATATCAAAGAGGAGCTGGCATGCACAGAGCTCCTGAACTCGTCCAATGAGGTGGTAGAGGTACAGTACATGGAATCAAGGTAGAAAATATTAATCTACTTATTATTTTAATATACAAACCACCAGATGCAACAGTTGCAACACTGAACAGATCCACAAAATAGAGAATATCCTTGATAACCTAGCAAACCCAGTACCAGATATTATCTTTCTTGGAGACTTCAATCTATCCAGTTTAAAATGGAGAATAGTAAACAATAACATTATAGCAGGAAATCAACCTGGAAAAAGCCAACCACAGGTCAGAGAACTACTGAGATTCTGTGACAAATTCTCGCTCAGTCAGCAGATTACAGAACCGACTAGGAACGAAAACACGCTGGACCTGATATTCACAAACAATGATCAGTTAATCAGATATATTACTGTCTCAGACACTACGTACTCGGACCACAAGCTCATTGAAGTGCAAACTAACAATAATAACTGTAGTAGGCCCAAGAGAAACAACAAGTGAGAAGAGTTATTCAATAAATTAAATTTTAATAATAAAAAGGATAGACTGGGAGAAAAATAAACAGGGAACTTACAAACATTCAATGGGAAAATGTTCTAAGAAATAAAAATCCTACACAAGGAATAGAAAAACTGACTTCTGAAGCATATCCTCGAAAATACGACTCTCCATACAAAGAAGAAATAATTTAAACAGGGAGATTGAAGAAATCGAACAGAGACTGAAGCATATCAGACTGAAGCATGCCAGACTGAAGAAAGGCAACTAGAACAGAAAGCAATTCAAGAAATAAAGAAAAACCCAAAATATTTCTTCACATATGCTAAATCTGCATCTAATGCAGTGGAGGCCTGGTCGAGGACCGGGCCGCGGGGACACTAAAGCCCCGAAATCATCTCAAGATAACCTCAAGAAATCAAATGCAAAAACCACTGCCAGTATTGGACCTATTCGTATTAGTGAAGGTTCATACACTGAGGATGACAAAGAAATTAATGAAATCCTTAAAAAGCAATATGAGGACATGTTTAGCACTCAGATACACAGCATGAAAGTGGAAGATTCGGACAATTCTTTGAGTGATATCCAGGCACCTGTAAATATAACTGATATCAACACAAGCATAGCAGATTTTGAATGAGAAATTGACAATATGCCCATGCACTCAGCCCTGGGTCCAGACTCTTGGAATTCAGTATTTATAAAGAAATGCAAAGTGCCAGTAGCACAGGCACTCAGAATAGTGTGGAGGAAGAGCTTGGACACAGGGGAGATACCAGATGCTTTCCCTCGCGCCTCCTACTTTTTCATGACACCATCTTCGACACTGCCCTCCGCTCTATTCCTCGCTCTTCCTCTCAGGGACCAGGGACGTGCAATCCCTGGTGGAATGCGGAGTGTGCTCGGGCTGTCCACTGTAAGCATGCAGCCTGGAAGAGACACTGCCACCGGCAGACGGCTGATTCTTTTCTTCTGTTTTGGAAGGCGAGTGCAGAGGCACATAGGGCCATCTGTTCAGCTAAGCGTGAGTGTTGGAAGTCTTATGATTTCACCATTATGTCCGAAACTCCTCTGCCACAGATCTGGAAACATGTCCACAAGATAGCGGGTAAGTTCGTTCCCGATGTCTTGCCAGTCCTTCACCTCCATGGTACTCTTGTGGCGGACCCGTTGCAGGTCACGACCGAACTGGGTTCCCACTTTTCTTCTGTTAGCTCTGGTTCTCATCTTCCTCAATCTTTCCTTCTTCATAAACCTGTCTTTGAATCTCGTCCTTTAGATTTCAGAACTCATCTCAGAGTTCCCTATGCCGTTGTCCTCCCTGTTTGGAAGCCAGGGTCTCTGGGGACATCCCTTAAGGCCTTTTGCCCTATTTCCCTCATGAGTTGTGTCTGGAAACTCTTTGAACGTATGGTTAACCTTCGTCAGATGTGGTTCTTAGAACACTATCACCACCTCTCCCCTTCTCAATTTGGTTTTCACAAGTGTCGCAGCACAACAGATGTCCTGGTGACCTTGGAGGTCTATATTCGTACTGCTTTTGCTGTGAAGACCTCCATTGTTGCCGTCCTTTTTGACCTAGAAAAGGCCTACGACACCACCTGGTGATATCATATTCTGTCCCAACTTCATTCTTTTGCCCTTTGTGGTAATCTCCCTCTCTTTCTCCAAAGCTTCCTCTCTCATCGTTCCTCTCGAGTGAGGCTTGGTACCACTCTCTCTGCCTCTTTTTCAGCATTACTGGATCATCTGTTGATTGACAGTTGAGAGGCGGGACCAAAGAGCCAGAGCTCAACCCCCGCAAGCACAATTAGGTGAGTACGAAGGGGTGTGCCCCAAGTTTTTTTTTTTTTTTTTTTTTTTTTTTTCTCTCTCCTCAATGGTCTTCTTTCCTCAATGGTCTTCTTTCCTCTCTTCCTTCCGGTGTCTTCTCCACTCTGTCGATGATCTTGCCCTTTGCTGTTGGGGTGATGATTCTCCTCTTCTTCAACTGCTGCTTCAGCTTGCAATTGATGCCGTGTCGTCTTGGGCCACCGATCATGGCTTCAGGTTCTCTACGTCTAAGACTTGTGCTGTGACTTTTACTCGGAAACGTGTCGTTCTTCGTCCTTCTTTGTCGCTTTATGGTCGCCCCCTTGTGTACAATGATTCAGCTAAGCTTTTGGGGTTAATCTTTGACACTCATTTGTCTTGGTCGCCCCATATCTCTTACCTCCGAGTTGAATGCTCTAAGGCCCTTACCCTCCTTCAGGTATTGTCCCATACTTCTTGGGGAGCAGATAGGCGCACTCTCCTCGCTTTACATTCCTCTCTCGTCCTGTCTAAAGTCGATTATGGTTGCCCTGCTTACTCGTCTGCCTCTCCTTCTACTCTTCGCCATCTTGATGCTTTGCGTCATACTGGGTTGGGCCTCGGCTCTGGTGCCTTTCGTTTGACTCCCGTCCTCAGCTTGTATGTTGACACTGGCTTCCAATCTCTCCAGGACCGCCATGATCGCTACTGTTTTCGCTATCTTGCACGGTCCTTGCAACATCCTTCCTCTCGCCTTTGTCGTGCTTTAAATTTTACCCCTCCTGCGGTTCCTGTTCCTCTTCACCACCTCCCTCTTTCTGTCCGGTTATCTCGTTCACAGGATTCTCTTTTAGTTCTTATTTCTAATATTTCACCTCGTGTTGTTCCTTCCTTGCCCCCATGGAGAGTCCCCCCTTTCGAAGTTTTGTACATCTTTAACCCGCATCACTAAAGCTTTTACCCCTCCTACGGTTCTGAAACTTTTTTTTGTTTTTTTCACACTTTTCTTCGCACTCCTGCTCCGTTTCCATCTTCACCGATGGGTCTAAGTCTGCAACCGGTGTAGGCTACTCTGTTGTTTTTCCTGACAGCACTTATATGTGTCGCCTACCTCTGGAGACTAGCATCTTCACAGTGGAACTTTATGCTATTCTCTATGCTTTTCGTCTCCTGCTTTCTCGTTGTCAATCTTCCTTTGTAGTTGTAGTTGATTCTCATAGTGCCTTCATGGCTCTCGGGTCCTTTAATTCGGTCCATCCAGTGGTTGTCGAGATTCAGCATTCAGCTGTTTCTTATCTCTAGTAAATTTAAATCCGTAGAGTTTTGCTGGGTTCCCAGCCATACTGGTGTTTCTTTACATGAGCATGCGGATGCTGCCGCTAGAGAGGTTATCCGCTCTTGTCCCGTTTCCCGTAAAGGTATTCCTTTTTCCGACTTTTACCCGGTTATTCATTCCTCCATCCTTGCCTGTTGGCAGGGTTGTTGGTCTTCTGTTGTTGGTAACAAACTGCGTACTCTTAAGCGTAGTGTGTCCCCGTGGCCTTCCTCCTGCCACCGTAACCGGCGGTGGGAAACGGCTCTAGCAAGGTTGTATATTGGCCATACTCGCTTAACTCATGGTCACTTGGAGCGCTGCCCTGCTCCGTTTTGTCCAAATTTCATTGTCCTTCTTAGTCTTGCATATCCTTGTTGAATGTTCTGACTTGCAGGACAAGCGTGTGTCTTGTATTCCGACCATCCCTCGTGGTTGCTTGTCCCTTGATAGAATTCTTGGTGAACCGGATACTTTTGATATCTTTCGCCTTTTGCGTTTCTGTTCTCGTATTGGCATCCTTGGTGATATTTAGCGCCCTCTGATTATTCCGCACATTTGATGGTGCTATGTAGCCTTCCTGGTTTGGTGCCTTCTTTTGATAATTACTTACTTACTTTAAAATATAGAGAACTGAATTATGATAATTATTTCAATGGCAGTGTTTAGTTCAAGAAATCTTTGCCATCTGAATTATTACATATCTAATATAGCTATTGGGATTGTCTCAACGCTCTCCAAATGTACTCTAGAAAAGAAACAAGAGAAGTATCAAATAATATACTGTAGTGGTGCAGATGGAAAATACTGGAGGGTCAGGTCCCAAATCTACACAGTAAAATAACAACGTACTGGAGTGAACACTATGGAAGAAAATGCAGAACAGAACCAGTAAAGAGCATATGTGCCATACGCACAATCAGAGAGAACTGTATAAAGATTAGAGGTCTGCGGTTGTTTAACATCCTCCCAGCGAGCATAACAAATATTGCTGAAACAAACGTGGACGTCTTCAAGAGAAAACTGGATAGTTTTCTTTTATATGTGCCGGATCAACCGGGCTGTGGTGGATATGTGGGCCTGCGGGCCGCTCCAAACAACAACCTGTTGGGCCAAGCTCTCGTAAGTCAAGCCTGGCCTCGGGCCTGGCTTGGGGGGTAGAACAACTCCCAGAACCCCATACAAGTAGCTAATAAAGAGGTTTGTTATGGAAAGAGACTAGTACTAATTTTTATGACAACTAAGAATTTGGTAATGTATAAACAGCTGTAAACATTCTAACTTTTATTTGCATATTAATATACAAAGAATATGTATAAATGTTATTTTTATAATGTTATTTTGTTTAAGAAATTGACTGAATTATGGTGCAGATTTAAGTCTTATTAATAGGAAAAGTTAATTTATTACATACTATGTTTTATGTCATGTCCAGAATTATTTGTTTAATAATTAGCATGTCTTATTGAAAATATTAATTAATCTGTATTACAAAAATGCAACATACCAATCCATCCTCCTGTTTAGATAATACCTATTGTGACGATTGTTAATTGTCAGAATTCGTACACTCTTAGCTTTTAGATAGTAGTATACTGACTAGTAAGGAATTCTTCTAAAATATATGAAGCTAAGACACAAACTTAAATATTCTAGGCCCAGTATAACACACACATGTACAGTGGTGCCCCGGTTAATGAATTTAATCTGTTCCGGCACCAAGTACATCTTGTGAAACACTAGTCTGTGAAACGAATTTCCGTCAGATGTCGGAGGCGTCTGATAATTTGCTAGAACCAGTGAGAACGCTAGGAAGCACCACGTGCTTCCTCGTTAACCGAGTGGAAGCTAGTCAGTTGAGACAAGTTTTCTGCGAGTGGCTCGCTCATTACCTGAAATGCTCGTAGATGGAGCTGCTCATCATCCGAGGTCCCTCTGTACTCTATTAGACCTCAGATATTGTGTATTAAGACTAGGGAGGTTTGGATAGATTTATTTAGTTTGTCAAAGCAACACAAGTAAAAAAAAGTTTTTGTGGTTTGTCCAACTCAATAGTTCAGATTTCTACATTCTAATTTCGTTGTACGTAGGTATATATATACTGTGATCCTCATCGTTACTATAAGTACATACTACCAAAACAGGAGAATGGGCTGCAACATACATCATGGTTGCAGCCTAATGCAAGTTCAGGTGTTTTTAAATTTGGAAAGACAATTGAGGGTTTCTTGAGAATTGGATGTACCAGGATGAACTTCATTGACTTGAGCATACCCCATCGAGAAATATTATTCTTAGAGATTTGCTTGACCCACGACAATTTCATTGGGATCTGGAACTCTGGTTTGATGAGTCTCACAGATGTAATGCATAGTGGTTATGCAGAGCCTATGGCTCCAATGATAGTTATTGCTTGAATCCAGGAACACGCAGTGCCACCGAGATGCTGTAGGGAACTGCTGTGTTGTAAAGCCATTGTATGGCATCACCTCGGCTGATGACCCCCATGTCCACTGTCTTGTAGACCAGTTGTATATACCTCCTACCCACCTGTTTAGCGTGGCTGTGTTTTGAGGAAAGAAATTATTAGTTAGAATTATATTGATACCCAGCTGGAAAAGCCATGTCCTGAGTCGTGTGCCATTTCTCTATAATTTATCATGAACTGCTCACCAAATTTGTCAAACTTCTTGACTTTAATCATCATCAATACCAACACATTTCCCACTTTCATGGTGTGGGTGAGCCATTAGCCTGGATAAAGAAGCAACAGTATAGAAAATGTAACTTAAAAAATTACTTATCCATTTACCATATCTTGTCATATATGGTAAAGATAAAACTTGTTCACTCTGTATAAACTTCTGCCTCCAAGCCTTATTCCCCACCACATTTCATGTACTGTTCATGTGCAGGCGATGAGTCACAATAACGTGGCTGAAGTATGTTGACCAGACCACACAGTAGAAATTGAAGGGACGACGACGTTTCGGTCCGTCCTGGACCATTCTCAAGTCGATTGTCAAGACAATCGACTTGAGAATGGTCCAGGACGGACCGAAACGTCGTCGTCCCTTCAATTTCTAGTGTGTGGTCTGGTCAACATGTACTGTTCATATTCGATCCCTGTTCCTTACACTCCTGCACTATATCTGCCCATTTTATTCTCTGCCTTACTTTTCTCATACCTTTCAAATTCACTTACATTCTTCACTATTCTACCATAATTTATTCATTGAACACACACTCCTATCTCATGATTCACAGGTTTTAGCTCCACACATACTTCCTCGACTTTATTGTTCTTTATTTTATCTATCCTCTGAACTCTAACCCTGCTTCTCAGATTTTCTATCTTTATTGTTGTGACATAAATTTTCATGCTTAATCCATACCAGTATTTCACATCCATTCATTAAGGTTGGCACAATTTCATACAACCCTTTAGATACACCTCTTCTTATCATGTTCTTCCACCAAGTCAGAGTTTTAAGTACACAAACCACTTTCCTTTCCAGACTCGTTTGTTTAAATTTTGCTTGCACCAATTACTCTTGTTAATTACTCATTTCAATGGTAATGAGTTAAACTCATTAATGAGTTTAACTCATTACCATCCTCCAGTGCTTCTCTCTTCACCTGGCCCTCAGTCACAATTTTCTTCTTTCTCCATCACAGTTAGTGTACATTTATATACCTATGTAAACAGAACATTCATATAATCTATGTGCATTTTTCTCATTCTCTGCTGGAAGATGTTCATCATATGCATACATCAGATTTTCTTTCATCATCATCAATCAGACTCCATCAATACATGTACAGCAGTACCCCAGTGTTTCATACAATCAAATATAAAATACTTTACATGAACTGCCATTTGAAAAAAATGATTACATGCAGTCTCCAGTCACCTTAACAAATTGATTCCATCTAGTCATATTCCCTTCTTCTATTTGTCATTTACACTCAATATACCCCACTTCCTCACACACACTATTTACGGTATGTCTATCGGTCTTTCTCTCGGCTTTCCTTTCTCCACCCCACCCTTAAATTAATTTGAATTATCTGTAACTCTTCTTCCATTATTCATTTGGTCAATATCACCAAATTACCTTGATAAACTTTTTTTTTTTTTTTTTTAATTGTACATTGTACTGACTTCTGTGCTGAACATATTTCCACATCAAGTTTAGTTCTTGATTCAATTTTTCCTAACTCCAAAAAAAAAAAAACCCATCTCAGGTTGTCTATTTCTATTGCACTAACACTTCTTCGTGCTGCCTCAAACTGCCATGCTTATCTTAGTCTTCCTATGCGCAGTGCACAGGACCTTTACAGAATGATTCGGCAGAGATACTGTACTCTGTAGTTTGAAAAATTCTTCGATGCCTCGGTGCAAAATGTCTACCTGACCTAACTGTCTATGATTCTGATCAATGAAACCAAATAGGACCTTGCCATATGGAGCAACAAAGTGTATTACTTAGAAAGGTGCTCATCATAATCACTCAAACCCATATATAAATATATATTATTTAAAATTTAGTAAATTTATAATATAAAGCACAATAGTATGATGAAATAGTATTTGGATGCAGTGAAAGGTTTCAATAAATACTAGTAATAATAATTAATAATAATAACAATAATAAACCCTTAAATTGCACATTGCATCATATGATGCTTTAACTGACTTGCAGTAAATTATGCATCGCATCATATGAAGCTTTGGAGTACTACGCAAGATTTAAACGGCCCGCGGATACACGGGGTTCACCACACCTTCATCAGGGCTCTTATAAACGGACGCCATTTTTTAACAAATTCGTGGGCCAAATTTCCGGGTGTTAGGGGCCTCAGTATTGAGTGAGCTACCAAGCCTGATGCACGCAGCATGAGCTCACAGCACTGCTGTTCAGCTCGTGACCACAGCATCGCCTAAAAATGCCAAAATATACTTGTTCATGCTATTATGTAGCAATGATATTATTACAGAAGACCCTTGACTGTGATAAAACTGACCAGGGTTCTGATAATAGCAGGATTGTGGTGATATTTAGCACTGTGCTCCATGGAGGGAGGAGTAATGCTGTGGGAGGGATGGTGGTGGCCTTGTCTTCTGACTGTGTGTGGCCACTTTTTATTGACTGCACTCTCCATACCAGCTTAGTGGTTCGCTATGGTGAACACAAATGTAGATACTTATATATAACGTATGTATAGAGAGTATAAACCGCAAGAGGAGTAGGTTGGGAGCCGCCATTTTGGTGAGGGCGGTGGCGTCGTCTGCACGACTTATGTTGTTTACCGGTGACCACGATGGTCTTTGGGCACCATACCAGTTTACAAGTATAAAACAGGTAGATATTTATATATAATGTGTGTATATAGCGTAATAACACCACAAACAGTATTGTTAGAGGAGAAATATTAGTTTGTCTAACCTTGAGGATGGCAGCCATCAGTTGACTGTGTGAGTAGCTACGTCTTTGTGCCTTTACTCACCATACAAGCGTAGATGTACAGTTATGGTGAACAAAACATGTAAATACTTATATATAACGTCTGTATATAAAAGCAAAAACAGTATGGTGGGTGGAGAATGGTGGCAAGTCAGGTGAGGTGAGGGAGGGAGGGAGTGGCACCCAGTGGCGGGCTGCCACTGGCACTGCCACTCAGCATGCCAACTTAGTGGTTCGTTATGGTGAACAAAACATGCAGATACTTATACGTATATAACTTGTGTATATAGTGTAATAATCGACAAAGTATTTGTTCACTGTTTGATGAACATAATTGAATCAACAATATGTACACCATATTTTTGAGTACAGCGATGATTCACTCATTTTATTATATAAATATATCACACTACACACTATTGAATAATATTACAGCAAAAAAACTACAAAAAATCAATCAGAGACATTGAAATAATTAGGTAATTATCTCTTTGTGGCAACTCCGGCCTGACAGCTGGCGAGCAACAGACCATCTGGGACGCACGCTGAGTCAGCGCCTGTTTTTTGCCAGACTTCCCTGCCCTATAGCGGGCAATATATGCCACTTACGATTTTTTTTTTTATTTTTCCCATGATCAGTGAACACAAATTAACAAGTTAGGAAGAATTTTTTTTTTTTTTTTTTTGTATGCGGCTGTGGGTGTCAAATGATATATAGCCTTGCGCCATTTAAGGGTTAATGAGTGTATTTAGTGGAGAAAAATAAAAAATAGCTGGTTTTGAACAAAGTAATATACTGTAGATGAAAAACTTAGTTTTATATATCATTACTACCATTGACACTTGCTGACATTTATGAATAACACTCAGTTATGTGAGGCAAACTTACCAAATTCTGGTCTGTTGAGATAGGAGCGGACTGTTTCATCCTCCCACTGTGATTCAAGAGAAGCAAGCTGGCTCTCAAGATCTCTGCATGCAAAATGAGCATTATGCCATGTGGTAATCTCTGTACTGAAGTAATAGCAGCTATTTCCTAATAGAAGAAAAGTAGGGGGACATATGTATCGCTGCTGCCATTCATGTCCAGTCTGATCTTGGCCCCATCCTGTTTTCAAAATACACAGAAGGCATGTTAGTTCTTGACCATTGTCCTGGTTACCCTTATGTAATGTGCTTATATAAATAGAATTGTCTAATGGTATTGACAGTTTTTTATTAAGATTTGTAATCTAGGTAACTATTTTAAAGTAATATTTTATGCTGTACCAAACTATACAGCAAAAGGTGATTTTTCAAGAATAAATTCAAGATATGAATTACTCTACTGGGTACTGTCTGGTTACATGGATTCCCTGTTTGGGGAAATTTCAGATGGCTTGTGTGTTCTTGGCATGTGTGTGTGTAATTACCTAAGTGTAGTTACAGGATGAGAGCTATGCTCGTGGTGTCCCGTCTACCCAGCACTGTCATATAACGCTTTGAAGCTGCTGACAGTTTTGGCCTCTGTCAGTAGCAGGGTAGCCGGTGGCTGAGCGGACAGAACACTGAACGCGTGATCCTGTGGTCCCGGGCTCGATCTCGGGAGCCGGCGAGAAACGATGGGCAGAGTTTCTTTCACCTTGATGCCCCTGTTACCTAGCAGTAAATAGGTACCTGGGAGTTAGTCAGCTGTCACGGGCTGCTTCCTGGGGGTCGAGGCCTGGTCGAGGACCGGGCCGCGGGGACACTAAACGCCCCGAAATCCTCTCAAGATAACCTCAAGATAACCTTATCACTTAACTTGTTCCAACCATCTACCACTCTGTTTGCGAAAGTGAATTTTCTTATATTTCTTCGGCATCTGTGTTTAGCTAGTTTAAATCTATGACCTCTTGTTCTTGAAGTTTCAGGTCTCGGGAAATCTTCCCTAACGATTTTATCAATTCCTGTTACTATTTTGTATGTAGTGATCATATCGCCTCTTTTTCTTCTGTCTTCTAGTTTTGGCATATTTAATGCCTCTAACCTCTTCTCGTAGCTCTTGCCTTTCAGTTCTGGGAGCCACTTAGTAGCATGTCTTTGCACTTTTCCAGTTTGTTGATGTGCTTCTTATGATATGGGCACCATCTCTCTCTTTCTCTCACTCTCTCACTCGCACACACACTAAAAGTGTCACAAAACACTAGTTTTAAAACACTAGTTTTAGTTTTAAAAGTGACACTAGGGGTGTCACAAAAAGGCGACACCCCTAGTGTCAGCACCTGCAACAGAGGAGCTCCAGGATATTTCACAATTCCTAAGTATTGTAGGAACAATACTTAATACTTGATGATAGTGAGTGGTGTCCCAAGGAACATAAAAGTGTTGTGCTCTGGAAAAATAGGTGAGGTAACACAAATGTGCAAAGTGAAGTGAAGAATTGGATGAGAAAAAGTGACCCCAGTGTTTACAGTCCAGAAAAAAACAGAAAAAAAAACAAACAAGATGGCCACCAGCAAGAAGATAAACAAAACAGAGCTGGATTTTGGGGGTTTTAATGAAGAAAACATTGATATAAGCAGTCTATACAAATTGACAAAATTAGATATTATAATGAACTATCATGAAGAAATAATCAGCAAATTGAAAGAAAGTAATGAGCACTTGAGTGGCAAGGTTTTAGGTCTTGAGGGGTTAGTGAAAGACTTATGCAAGGACAAGAATCGACTGGAAACAAATTGCAAAGCCATGGAAGAGGAAAATAAACTCTTAAAAATAGCTTTGGAAGAAATTAAATCAAACTTAAACATAAAAGACTATGATAGGTTAGGTAAGGAAATTCAACAGGAAAAACAGCTTTTGTCAGAACAGATGGAGGAAGTTACACAGGGAATAGAACAGTGCAAGAAAGATATGCAACTCACCTATGCACAAGTGGGCAAGGAGGAGAAAATAGAAGAAACAGTAAAGGAAGCCAAACACTGCAGCAACCATGATAAAACAAACATTAGGCTGGAAGTCAGAAAGGAACTGGCATCAAATCCTAAATTGGTGCAAAACACAGTTGATCGTAGTAAGTCTCTGATAATTTTTGGTTGCAAAGAAAAGGAGATAACATCCAGGTCAGAAAGAGCTATAGAAGAGAAAGTAGTAGATAAAATTGTTGGCCTTGTGGAAGGTCTTACTACCATAGAGAATGTCTGCGATTATAGGACGATTGGAAAGTACGTAAAAGGGAAAGATCGAACTTTGAGGATCACCCTAAATGGTGTCAAACATATGGAAGAAGTACTGAAGACAGAGAAGCTGAAACTGAACCTCGCCGAGGCAAAACGTTTAAATGAGAGCAGGAATGAAGAAGAAATAAATTCTTTTTTTTTCTACAAAGTGATAGGGATAGGTAAACCAGTAAAGTGGTACATAAAGGCAAACCAACTAAAGGATTAGAGAGAGGGGGAGTGAAGAATAAGGAGAGGGGGAACAAGTTCCTGAAAAATGCATACACCAACATAGATGGAGTGACTGGAGTTAAGTGATGTGATACAGCTGCAAACACCAGACATTGTTGCACTCATGGAGACAAAATTTGATGATATTTTAAATGAGGTCATATTCCCAAGAGGCTACTCGGTCTGGAGATGGGACAGAAAAATTAGGAAAGGCAGTGGCGTTGTTGTGCTAGTGAAAGAACACCTAAAGGTTAACAAAATAATAATTGCCAATCCACGAGAAGTTGACATAATAGCACTAGGGATATGCAATCAGGATGATAAACTAACGATCATAAATGCATATAGTCCACCATCAAGCAACACATGGACAGAGGAGGAGCTAGATAATAAACGAGAGGGTCTTATAACAATGAGAGAAATTATAGTCAGAGCTTATAAAGATAGATCACGACTGTTGGTAGTCGGCGACTTCAACTTAAAATCCATAGACTGGGAGGCATATGAATCTATAACGGAAGATTTTTGGACTTGTAGATTCGTAAACTTCATCCTGGAAACATTCATGTTTCAACATGTTAAACATGCTACGAGGATGAGAGATGGGGATGTTCCCTCCATGCTGAATTTTATATTTACCAGGAAAGAGGAAGAGATATTTGTCATTCAGTACCTCCCTCCGATAGGTAAAAGTGACCATGTCTTATTGGGAATAAAATATGCTATGCGTTATACTTTGGAAGAAAATGAGGTTGAAGCAGTTGAAATGCCTGATTTCAGGAGAGGTCATTATGGGGAACTCAGACATTTCTTTCAGGAAATTGACTGGAAAGACTTGCTGTTAGGACATGAAGTAATTGAGATGTATGTCAAGTTTTGTTAAATATATGATAAAGGCACAAAAAAATATATTCCAAAGCAGAGATGCAGAACTAGGAAACAGGATTGGTTTGACAGAAATTGCGAGAGTGCCAGAGACCAAAAGATACAAAAATGGAATCAATATAGGAAGAGGCCAAACCCGCCAAACATACCAGCGATACAAAGATGTGAGAAACAACTACACGGCAGTGAGAAGAGAGGCAGAAAGAAATTTTGAAAAAGGGATTGCGGACAAATGTAAAACAGAACCAGGTCTATTCTATAAATTCATAAACAACAAATTGCAGGTAAAGGATAATATTCAGAGGTTGAAAATGGGAAATATTCACAGAAAATGAAAAGGAAATGTGTTAAACATTAAATGGAAAGTTCCAAAGTGTGTTTGTACAAAATGAAATTTTCAGGGAACCAGACACAATAAGAATGCCAGAGAACTGCATAGAGCACATAAAGGTGTCTAGAGATGAAGTGGAGAAAATGCTAAAGGAGCTAAGTAAGAACAAAGCAGTTGGTCCAGATGGAGTTTCACCATGGGTTCTGAGAGAATGTGCATCTGAGCTCAGCATTCCACTTGAACTGATTTTTCAGGCATTCCTGTGTAAAGGAGTTAGTTGTAGCTGATGTGTGGAAAAAGGCTAACATAGTCCCAGTCTACAAAAGTGGCAGCAGAGAAGACCTCCTTAATTATAGACCTGTATCATTGACTAGTGTAATAGTCAAAATATTGGAAAAATAATTAAAATTAAATGGGTAGAACACCTGGAGAAAAACGATATAATATCAGACTGACAGTATGGTTTACAATCTGGAAGATCCTGTGTAACGAATTTACTCAGTTTCTATGATCGAGCCACAGAGATTTTACAGGAAAGCAATGGTTGGGTTGACTACATCTATCTGGACCTAAAAAAGGCTTTTGACAGAGTTCCACATAAGAGGTAGTTCTGGAAACTGGAACATATTGAAGGGAGTGACAGGTAAGCTTCTAGCAAGGATGAAAAATTTCCTAACTGATAGAAAAATGAGGGCTGTAATCAAGAGGCAATGTATTGGATTGGAGGAATGTCACAAGTGGAGTACCACAGGGTTCAGTTCTTGCACCGGTAATGTTCATTGTCTACATAAACGATCTACCAAATGGAATACAGAATTATACGAACATGTTTGCTGATGATGCTAAGATAATAGGGAAGATAAGAAACCTAGAAGATTGTCATGCCTTTCAAGAAGACTTGGACAAAATAAGTATATGGAGCACTACTTGGCAAATGGAATTTAATGTAAATAAATGCCATGTTATGGAATGTGGAATAGGAGAACTTAGACCCCACACAAACTATAAATTATGTGAGAAATCTTTAAAGAATCTGACAAAGAAAGGGATCTAGGGGTGGTTCTAGATAGAAAATATCACCTGAGAACCACATTAAGAACATTGTGCAAGGAGCCTATGCTACACTTTCTAACTTCAGAGTTGCTTTTAAATACATGGATGGAGAATTTACTAAAAAAATTGTTCACGACTCTTGTTAGACCAAAACTGGAATATGCAGCGGTTATATGGTGCCCATATCTTAAGAAGCACATAAACAAATTGGAAAAGGTGCAAAGATATGCCACCAAGTGATTTCCTGAGCTGAAGGACAAGAGCTATGATGAGAGATTAGAGGCATTAAATATGCAAAAACTAGAAGATAGAAGAAAAAGAGACAATATGATCACTACGTACAAAATAGTAACAGGAATCGATAAAATTGATAGGGAAGAATTCCTGAGACCCGGAACTTCAAGAACAAGAGGTCATAGATTTAAACTAACAAAACAAAGCTGCCGGAGAAATATAAGAAAATTCTCTTTTGTAAACAGAGTGGTAGACAGTTGGAACAAGTTAGGTGAGAAGGTGATTGAGGCCAAAACCGTCAGTAGCTTCAAAGCGTTATATGACAGAGTGCTAGGTAGACGGGACACCACGAACGTAGCTCTCATCCTGTAACTACACTTTGGTAATTACACACACACTGTGTGTGTGTGTGTGTGTGTGTGAATTGAATTGTGTGAAAATGAATTGGTGCATGTGTTATTACCTAATTATTATCAGTTTTTGTGCTTTATCATAAATAATTCAGAAATGTACAGTGGGTATTGCCACACAGTGATACCGATGGTAGTAAGATATAGCCCCAGGAAAGGTTAAAGGAAATACTGTATCTTTAACCCCACTGATTATGATGTTCATGCTCTCTGCATCAACCATTCCATTGAATACCTGCCGAGGGCAGTACTAATTTTATCCGTGTTTTGCTGCACCCCCAATGAAAGCAAGTGAGCACTTCTTAATTTTTTACAATAGCTAAACTAAAATGTAGACATTCCCTAACATGTTTTTGGTGCCCCCTTTAAAAAAGAGTTTTTGTTACTTAAAGGTGACGTGCATTAATGTTCTTTGGGAAAGACTGCATTAGCCTGGCCTCTCAAGGATAGGAAGATCCCAGATGAAACCAGACACTTAGAAATACAGTACATATGCAGTATACCATAAATAGATAAACACATTGAGGTGTGCATGTTGAGTAAATTGTTTTGCTTGCATTTTTAATTTCTAGCCTTGCTTATTTGTCTTTAATGTGCATTATGTATATCTTTTAACTGAATTTGGTTAGAAATGTTTATTTTATTTTCAGCATCCTGGGTGTGTTCAAAATATAATTTAAGGTTACGAAAGTTATATATATTATGTGCATATGTAGCTGCAGTGATTGCAAAATTAATTCAGTAAAAGTCTAGATAATTTGAAAATCAAATTTACCTTTCTTGTTCAGAAGGACAAAAATGAGGATGGATAAGATGCGTCCCTTCATGGTTTAACAAAGGAAGCTTTTGAATCATTGATTGTAGATTATGGAGGCAAATGGTCAAGATGGGTTGTGTGTTGCTTGTTTTAACCCGAGGTGTATCAATCATGCGTTACATGTACACATTTTTACTCTTGAGTAGGAAAGGTTTGCATTTAATGAGATTTCAAAGAATTTAGGTTTTCTAGGGTTATTTCTCAGAGTATTGCAAATATTTAAGTGGCATATAAAAAAGGAAGTGAGTGTAAGGCAACAGTATTAGTATCTCCTTGAGCTCCCTTTGGCATGAGGTTATCTTTCTTGTCTTATGGCTGATAAGATTACCTGAACCATTGTTTATCATTCTGACAACAACCAACTCCATGCTCTTTCCTCGCATGTAAATGGTACCGTGTAGCTTCTAACGAATGGGTTTTGATAATAACATTGTTGTAGCAGTTATTTTATTGTGTTCATTTTTTAATTTTTTTGTCATCGTGTCACTTGTGACTCTCATCACTACAGTATTTGTTAAATATATTGTATATTCACTATACTGTACCAATATATGCAACTGATTAGCATGCTAGTTATAATAGTCCGGCATCTGTTCCTTCTGATAGCATTGTCAGGCAACTGCTGCTCCTCTTAGTTATCATAGGCAACTGCTGCACTTATTAATTATCATAGGCAACTGCTGCTCCTCTTAGGCTTCTGTTAGTTATCATAGGCAACTGCTGCTGCTCTTAGTTATCATAGGCAACTGCTGCTGCTCTTAGTTATCATAGGCAACTGCTGCTCCTCTTAGGCTTTTGTTAGTTGTCATAGGCAACTGCTGCTGCTCTTAGTTATCATAGGCAACTGCTGCTTCTCTTAGGCTTCTGTTAGTTGTCATAGGCAACTGCTGCTGTTCTTAGTTATCATAGGCAACTGCTGCTGCTCTAAATTATCATAGGCAACTGCTGCACTTATTAATTATAATAAGCAACTGTTGCTTCCCTTAGTTATCAGGAAACTGCTGCTTCTGTTAGTTATACTAGGCAACTACTGCTTCTCTTAGTTATCATAGACAACTGCTGCTGCTGCTCTTAGTTATCATAGGCAACTGGTGCTGCTTTTAGTTATCATAGGCAACTACTGCTGCTTTTAGTTATCATAGACAACTGCTGCTGCTCTTGGTTATCATAGTCAACTGCTGCTGCTTTTAGTTATCATAGGCAACTGCTGCTGCTCTTGGTTATCATAGGCAACTGCTGCTGCTCTTGGTTATCATAGGCACTTGCTGCTTCACTAAGGCTTCTGTTAGTTATCATAGGCAACTGCTGCTGTTCTTAGTTATCATAGGCAACTGCTGCTGATCTTAGTTATCATAGGCAACTGCTGCTTTTCTTAGTTATCATAGGCAATTGCTGCTCCTCTTAGTTATCATAGGCAACTGCTGCTCCTCTAAGGCTTCTGTTAGTTATCATAGGCAACTGCTGCTCCTCTTAGTTATCATAGGCAACTGCTGCTGCTCTTAGTTATCATAGGCAACTGCTGCTTCTCTAAGGCTTCTGTTAGTTATCATAGGCAACTGCTGCTCCTCTTAGTTATCATAGGCAACTGCTGCTGCTCTTAGTTATCATAGGCAACTGCTGCTGCTCTTGGTTATCATAGGCACTTGCTGCTTCACTAAGGCTTCTGTTATCATAGGCAACTGCTGCTGCTCTTAGTTATCATAGGCAACTGCTGCTTTTCTTAGTTATCATAGGCAACTGCTGCTTCTCTTAGTTATCATAGGCAACTGCTGCTGCTCTTAGTTATCATAGGCAACTGCTGCTTCTCTTAGTTATCATAGGCAACTGCTGCTGCTCTTAGTTATCATAGGCAACTGCTCCTTCTCTTAGGCTTCTGTTAGTTATCATAGGCAACTGCTGCTACTCTTAATTATCATAGGCATGATTGGTGATAGCTTCTTGTTGGGTGTCCTGCCTCTAATCGTGGCTCTTTGGTGGGTATGGGGGCACATTCGTGAATGAAAGTCTGACCTCTCGTCCTTATCAAATTCTGTTCCTCTTCTACCTTCTCGGGCTCATTGGGTAGGCGACCAAGCCCCCGAGTCGGACCGTGCTCTGTATCCCTCGCTGCATTGGGCCCCGACCTTGCTCCTCCTCTGACCCTCCTGACTACTCCCCTCCCTCCTCTATGGTTGGGTCAAGCCCCATGCCCCCAGTGGTGACCATCTCGTCCCCTGGCACACCTGTCTCTAGTAGGGACTACTGCGCCTTTTAACCCCTCTCTCTCTGGGGGTTCTCAATGCCGTCCGTTCCGTCCTCGCCACGGCTGTGCTCGGTCGATTCCTTCCCGTAATGATGCGTTTCAAGCTTTGTTTGGTCCCGCTTCGTGGGCCAAATACTTTGATCTCCTCCCTCTTGATTCTACGCCTCCTGACAATTTCTCCCTCCATAGGCACCTTGTTAATTCAGTAGATGCCTCTGTTACTTTCAACCTCACCTGTCTCGGTACACGTATCGTTGCTGCTCCTTCTCAGGATGCAGTCTCCAGCTTGGCCGCCTTATTCTGCCTTGGCGAGACCCCTGTTCGGCTCTCCAAGGACGCTCGGTTCTACTCCCTCCCCATGTTGCGACCGGTGTTCGGAATCTGTAGGATTGCCACAAAGATATTCGGCATGTCCTCGAAGCCCAAGGGCATTCTGTCCTCCAGGTGGACTCGTTTACTCATTCCCCCTTGTGGTCGTCGCCCTCAACCCCTTCGGGTTGTGAAGATTACCTTTGATGGTAGGACCCTTCCGCCCTCTTTCATTCTTGCTGGTGCCAGGTGCTCCGTCTAGGAGTACATTTCCTCTCCTCGGCTCTGCAATAAGTGCTACAGGTTTGGACATGAAGCCCTCCGCTGCTCCGGTACTGTCTCTCTGTCCTGTGTGTGGGGACGAGGGTCGCTCTAAGTCGGAATGCACTTCTCCCCAGGCTTGCTGCTTCAATTGTGGTGAGGCCCACCCTACCTTCTCCCGCGCGTGTATACATTACAAGCTTGAGGCAGCTGTCCTCAACCTGAAGCACCGGGAACGTTTGTCTTTTCCTGAGGCGAGGCGCCAAGTTTGCCGTCTCCCACCTTATGCTAACATCTCTTATGCTCGCGTGTTGCGCTCTTCCTCTCCCCGTCCTTCCCACCTTCCTCAGTCTCACAACCGTTTACAGGCCTTAGACCCAGACATGCCCACCGCCCCCTCCTCTATTCCTTTGCATTCTGTCCCGGAGGGCCCCCCTCCTGTCTCTCTGTCTGGGGTTCCCCTTCTTTCTTCCCAGTCTGTCGTGTCTCCTGTGTCTTCTTCCTCATCTCCCTCCGATCCTCCTTCACATCCTTCTCCTCCGTCTCTTAGCTCTCCACGCCGCCTGTCAGTGCGGGTTGATGTTCATCGCTCTCCCAATGGCTGTCGTGTTTGCTCTTGTTCTGCTTCTCCTATTGAGACGCTAGAATCTGTTGCCCAGTACATTGTTGCTGGGATGCCTATCTCTTTGAGTCAAAGTGTAAGCCTGGCTCCTCTCCTTCCTCCTCCTCCCCGGCAGGTAAGAAGGCTTCGCTTTCTTCCTCGCTCCCTACCTCTGACTCTCTCGCCGCTCCATCCCCTCCCGTTTCGGTGGTTCCGCCCCGTTCCTGCTATGGAGGTCTCTTTGGCCCCCCGCTTCCCTCTCGGTTGCTGCCCTTGCTGAGGTGCATTCCCTGGTTTCTGGCCCTCCTGCTGCTGTCCTTGACCCTTGGTTGTTTTCCCCCCCCTCCCTCTTCCTCCTCTAGACCCTTCTCGTCGACCCCTGGTTGGTCCTCCAGCTCCCTTCCCTCCTCCTTTACTCAGTTTACCCATGCCCCTTAACCCTGACTTCGCTGACCCTGACCCTGACCCTGATCCTGCACTTCTTTAACGTGCTGTGTTCCCTTTTCACCTTTGTTTCTTCGTTGTTCTCTGTTGCTGTCCTTTCTCTTCTTGACGATGTTTATTCTTCAGTGGAACATTCGTGGTTATTACGCCAGTTTCCTTGAACTCCAATTTCTGCTTTCACGATTTTTGCCCCTTTGTGTCCGTCTCCAGGAGCTGATGCGTGATGCTCATTCTGGTCGCTTTCGTGGCTATTCCCCCCCCCCGCCCGAGCTGTTGCTGGGCCTCCTAACTCTTCTGTGCTCTTGATTAGCTCTGATGTTCCCTTCGTACCCTTACTTTTACCTTCGCCTCTCCATTCTTCTGCTGCTCGCATCTTTGTGAGGAAATGGTGCAGTTTGTTCCATTTATCTCACCCCGAGTGTCCCGCTTTCTCTTCCCGATCTTAAACACCTACTGGACTCATTGCCGGAGCCTGTGCTCCTGCTAGGGGATTTCAATTGTCAACATACCCTTTGGGGTGATGTTCTGACAAATTCCCAAGGTCGCCTTCTCGAACCGTTCATCCTCTCTTCTTCCCTGTCTCTTCTGAATTCTGGTGAGCCCACTCATTTAGACTCTCGAACTCGCACCCTTTCCTGTCTTGGTCTTTCTCTTTGCGCGTCTTCCCTCTACTTAGATTTCGAGTGGCGGGTTCTTGATGACCTCCATGGTTATCTTGAGATGATTTCAGGGCTTTTTAGTGTCCCCGCGGCCCGGTCCTCGACCAAGCCTCCAGTGACCATTTTCCCATCCTTGATTCCTTTTTCTCTTTTCACCCTCCCCTCACCTTCCCTTGGTGGCATTTTGCCGAGGCTGACTGGCCCTTCTTTACCCTCCGTGCTTCTATCTCCGACCTCTTTATTCTGCTTCTCCCTTGCGCCCTCCTCCTTTTTTATGACACCGTCATCGACGCTTCCCTCCGCTCTATTCCTTGCTCTTCCTCTCGGGGAACGTGGAAGTGAGTTCCCTGGTGGAATGTGGACTGTGCTCAGGCTGTCCGCTGTAAGCGTGCAGCCTGGAAGAGAAACCATTGCCGGCAGACGACTGAATCTCTTCTTTTGTTTCGGAAGGCAAGTGTGGTGGCCCGTAGGACCATCCGTATGGCTAAACCTGCATGTTGGATATCTTATGTCTCCACCATCATGTCCAAAACTCCTCTACCGCTGATCTGGAAGCATATCCGCAAGATAGGGGGTAAGTTCATTCCCGATGTCTCACCGGTCCTTCACCTCTGTGGTACTCTTGTGGCGGACCCATTGCAGGTTGCGACCGAATTAGGTTCGCACTTTTTGTCTCTTAGCTTTGGTTCTCATCTCCCTCAATCCTTCCTTCCTTCGTAAGTCTCTTCGTGAATCTTGTCCTTTGGGTTTCTGTACTCATCCCTTTTCTCTCTCTGAGCTTCAGTCTGCCCTGGCCCACTGTGGTTCTACGGCGGCAGGCTCCGATGGCATTCATTATGAGATGCTTCGACATCTCCCTCCTTGCTCGTCTCAGTATTTACTGAGTCTATTTAATCGGGTCTGGGAGTCGTCGTCAGTCCCTGAGGACTGGCTCGATGCTGTTGTCCTCCCTGTTCGGAAACCAGGGTCTCTCGGGTCATCCCCCAAGGACTTACGCCCTATTTCCCTCACAAGTTGTGTCTGCAAACTCTTTGAACATATGGTTAACGTTCATCTGATGTGGTTCTTAGAACACTATCACCACCTCTCTCCTCCTCAATTTGGCTTTCGCAAGTGCCGCAGCACAACGGATGTCCTGGTGAACTTGGAGGTCTATATTCGTACTGCTCTTGCTGTGAAGACCTTCGTTGTTGCCATCCTTTTTGACCTGGAAAAGGCTTACGACACTACCTGGCGGTATCGTATTCTGTCCCAACTTCATTCTTTCTGCCTTCGTGGGAATCTCCCTCTCTTCCTCCAGAGTTTCCTCTCTCATCGTTCCTTTCGAGTGAGGCTTGGTACCACTATACCCCTTTTAGGCAATATGAGGGTGTGCCCCAAGGTAGTGTTCTGAGCACTACTCTTTTTCTTGTTGCTCTCAATGGTCTTCTTTCTTCCCTTCCTTCTGGCGTCTTCTCTGCTCTCTATGTAGACAATCTTACCTTTGCTGTCGGGGTGATGATTCGCCTCCTTCAACGGCGGCTTCAACTTGCGATTGATGCCGTGATCATGGCTTCAGGTTCTCTACGTCTAAGACTTGTGCTATGACTTTTACTCAGAAGCGTGTCATTCTCCATCCCTCTGTCACTTTATGGTCATCCACTAGTTTACAATGATTCCGCTAAACTTTTGGGGTTAATCTTTGACACTCATTTGTCTTGGATGGCCCATATCTCTTACCTCTGCGCCGAATGCTCTAAGGCCCTTTCCCTCCTTAAGGTTTTGTCCCATACTTCTTGGGGGGCGGATAGGCATACGCTCCTCTCTTTACATTCCTCACATTTACATTCATTCCTGTCTAAACTCGATTATGGTTGCCCTGCTTACTTGTCCGCTTCTCCTTCTACTCTTCGCCGTCTTGATGCTTTGCACCATACTGGGTTGCGCCTCAGCTCTGGTGTCTTTCGTTCAACTCCCGCCCTCAGCTTGTATGTTGGCTTCTGGCTTCTGTCTCTCCCACTGGCTTCCTATTTCTCCAGGACCGCCGTGATCGCTACTGTCTTCGCTATCTGGCGTGGTCTTGCAACATCCTTCCTCTTGCCTCTGTCTTGCCTTGACTTTTACCCCTCCTGTAGTTTCTGTTCCTCTTCACCACCTCCCTCTTTCTGTTCGGCTATCTCGCTTACAGGATTCTCATTCCATTCGTCTTTCTCATATTTCTTCTCGTATTGTTCCTTCCTTGCCTCCGTAGAGGATCCCCCTTCCGAAGTTTTGTACATCCTTGACCCACGTTACTAAAGCTTTTACTCCTCCTACGGTTCTGAAGCCCCTTTTTCTTGAGCATTTTCCTTCATACTCTTGCTCCGTTTCCATCTTCACTGATGGGTCTAAGTCTGCGGACGGCGTGGGCTACTCCATTGTTTTTCCTGACCGCACTTATATGTGTCGCCTCCCTTCGGAGACTAGCATCTTCACAGCGGAACGTTATGCTATTCTCTATGCTCTCCGTCTCCTGCTTTCTTGTTGTCAATCCTCTTTTGTGGTTGTAGTCGACTCTCGTAGTGCCCTCGTGGCTCTCGGGGGTCCTTTAATCCTGTCTATCTGGTAGTCGTTGAGATTCAACATTGGCTGTTTCTTATCTCTAGGAAATTTAAATCCGTAGAGTTTTGCTGGGTTCCAAGCCATATTGGTGTTTCTTTAAATGAGCATGCGGATGCTGCCGCTAGAGAGGCTATCCGCTCTTGTCCCGTTCCTCGTAAAGGTATTCCTTTTTCCGACTTTCACCCAGTTATCCATTCCTCCATCCTTGCCCGTTGGCAGGGTTGGAGGAATTGGGTTGGTCTTCTGTTGTTGGTAACAAACTGTGTACTCCTAAGCGTTGTGTATCCCTGTGGGCTTCTTCCTGCCACCGTAACTGGCGGTGGGAAACGGCTCTAGCGAGGTTGAGTCTTGGCCATACAGGTACTCGCTTAACTCACGTACACTTAATGGAGCGCCGCCCAGCTTCTTATTGTCAAATTTGCATTGTCCCTCTTACCGTCGTCCATATCCTTGTTGAATGTCCTGACTTCCAGGACGAGCGTGTGTTTTGCTTTTCGACTGTCCCTTGCGGTCACTTGTTCCTCGATAGAATTCTTGGTGAATCGGATACTTTTGATATCGTTCGCCTTATGCATTTCTGTTCTTGTATTGGCATCCTTGGTGATATTTAGCGCCCTGTGCATTTGATGGTGCTACATAGCCTTCCTGGTTTGGTGCCTTCTTTTGATAATTACTTATTTTTACTCACTTTCTAGATACCTTACCCGGTGAGGTGGCAAAAGTGTCACTGGAATACAGAGGGGAAACTGGAATACAGGTTCTGGTTCTGGTTCCTGATAGGGCTATAGGACTCAACAGCTGATGTGACCTAATAAATGGCTCTCACCGTATAGCTTCAGGAAACCACAAGGGGTTTTACCCAAAAAACAAGAATCACATGGAAATGTGCAAAAAGTCAGGAATGGCAAGCATTTTCAAGGAAAACCACAGAACTACTCGTTCCCCCATTGACACTCAATACTCCAGCATTTATTTACTTCTTCACATGGAAAGTTCAATAGTAAATTTGTGAACTTCCGAAGTTCCAACTCTGTTGGAACTTTGGAAGTGAAGGAAAGAGAATTATCAGAAAGTGCCACGCCATTACGACTATATAGCACTTGGAAGGGGTCAAGATGATGCTTTGTGCGAGGGATCACAGTAATTATATTTATTATTTTATCATTCCTTATAATCATCCCATCACCTCATTTATCATTATGCCATGTCCCAAATTGTGATACTAAATAAATTTTTATTAACTTTCGAGTGCAGATTTAATTTTTAACTTGAATCCAGTGTTCAAAGCATGTGTATAATGTACTTAATAAATAAGATTATTGATTATATGATGACTTTCATGCAGGTAGAGTCTGTGAATTTAGCCATGCAAATCCTTGATGAGTATCAGGTTGGCAATAAGAAGATACACGTTGAAAAAGCCAAGTTTCAACAGAAAGGGGAGTATAACCCAAAGCTGAAACCTCGGAAAAAACAAAAGAAAATTTTAGAAAAAATCCAGAAACGACAGGAAAAGTAAGTTTTATGTAAATTGAAGCCCAGTCCAGTTTTTACATTTAATAATTTTGAGATTTTCCACTCAGTAAGTTTTATGTAAATTAGAGTCCAGTCCAGTTTTTACATATAAAAATTTTGAGATTTTCCACTCGGTTGTTCCCCAAGTCTAGATCCTAATGGTTCAATGGAAAGTATACTTGGTGTAAGTTCAGTATTCTTCACCTGTACAGCAGGTATCTTTTCAAATTGTCTCATCTTGGTCATATTGGCGCTACGGGAAGACTGGAGAATACTCATTGCATCCTGAATTGAACTCTAAAAGGTTCATTCATGTATACTTGAAGCCTTTCCAATCTTTACTTTGCATTAACCACTGTGAGAAGCCGAGTTTATTGTGAAATTCCCCTGGTACGCATGAAATCAAGTGTTCTCAAAAAATTCTTTTTTTCTTCGTAAAATGATAAGTTCCCTTCCCTGAACATGTCTATGTAAAAATAAATACCAAATTCCACTTACTTTGGCTGTGGGGACGTGGACAAGGTGCGCTGTGATGTCATCAGGGCCTGGTCGCCGTGCGTGAATCACCCAGACACGGTCGCGCGGGTCATTCAAGCACCGGATGTTGCCACAAATATATTTTCAATTATTTGTTCTATATATTTCCAATGCAGTTTTATTTGTTTTTTTATTGTATATGATGCATATTTGTGTCCTTTACAATATATGTATACAGTAGAATGTTCATAATGTTCCATGGACCTGTGATACATGTCAGTAATGTGTCCACAATAAATGTTTATTATCGCAATATTGTTAAAAATTCACTAAAATTACAATATGTACAGTTTCACACACTATTTACACAGTGACACACTGTATTACACACTCAGTACTTCGAAAGTGAGTAATAATCAAAGAAGTAGTCCATGGTACACATGGCGACTTCGCTCTCATTGCACCAGGTAGAGAGAGATTTTCGCTTCCTTTTTCTTCGTTCTGTGTCCTTGCAAATAACACTCGCATACACCCTTGGCTTTAGTACCTGTAGGTGGTTTGTAGTCAAGCTTGTAAAGCATAAGGTAGTCTTGAAAAGATTATAGGAAAAGATCAATTTGTAAGGTAGTTGTGAAAAGATCGCTTTGTAAGGTCCCACGCAGGAAGAGATTCAGCCAGCCTCAAAGAGTGTCCGTTGGTCAAGATGAGATTCAGCTATTCTTGAAAATATTTATGGAAAACAGCACCATGGAAAACCACACACAGTAGTGTGTGTTTCCTTGGGATTGGAGGGAGTTCTACCTCTCTTTTTGGTTTTTCATTGTTAGTTTCTTACCAGGTGGTGATTGTTTTGTTATGCCTACCTTTCTGGGTGCCTAATCCCAGTCAATGGCAGTTAAGGAAAGCCCCCAACCATGGAGAGTTTCCAGGGCCATTGCTCTCTGAAACCTCTCTGAAGGGGCCAGGTTCTGGCTCGTGGTCCCTGGTAGGCTGAACTCCACTGACTAAAGCCCTGGTCTGGTATTTTGTTTGCTCTTGCAGCTGCTGCTGCTTTTTTTTTTATCATTGTTTTATGCACAGCTGTCTGCATCTACCAGCCGCTCCACACTGGGGTAAAACACAACACAATTGACTGCAAGTTTATCCTCATGCCAATTCCCTATAGAAGCCTCTCCTTACTACAGGTGTTCTCAACAATATCCTACAATGACATCATAGCTCTGAATTTTGGATGTACAGTACAATATAACTGTGATGCAAAGTAATGCTTAGCAAAGGTTGGAGTGCACAGTATGTGAACAAACTTTTAGAGGTCAATCTTGGCTGACTTGAATATCCTCCAATCTCTTCTTAGCATCAGTATCAACCAGTAGAGAATTAAAAAAAAAAAAAAAAAAAAAAAAAAAAGATCCAAAAAGATCCAAAGGTCTTGCTAAAAACTAGCTTTTTATACTAATACTTTTTGTATACTGATACTTTTTGTATACTGATACTTTTTATATACTTTTTTTGTTAAATTATATTTTTCTCTTTTTGCAGATTATTTGACTGGCGGCCAGAACCATTGCGCGGCCAAAGACAAAAAAACGAAAATACTGTTGTTATACGTAATGCATTTGATCCAAGGGAGTTCGTGGATGCTATGGAAAAAATGTTGGTTCATAAAGAGACATTGAGAAATCAGTGTGAAAATTTTGGAAAAATTAAGAAAATGGAGCTGCATGACGTAAGTTGGTCCAAAGCAGTATATCTAATAACTTTTAATTCACTGGTTTGGTTTAGTGTATTCATATTTATCCCAAGATTTTGCATTTAATTAAGTCTCGGTGGAAATTATAACCAGAATATACATAACACATATATAAAGTTCTTCATAACAGATGAGATATACAGTATTAATTTTTTGTAATCTTTACATCATATTTAATATTTCTTCCTGTTCTATATTAACCCATAGACCCCGCATATTCCCGCGAATATAGGGGGTATAGTAACGAAAAATATTTGAATTATGTAAAAATAACTGTAAAATGTTAGATATATATATATATATATATATATTAAATATATAAAATAAAATAAGAACGTGTTATTGATAAGAACAGCTCCTAATAACTGGAACTGAAGGATTATGCAGCTATAGAGATGCAAGCACCTGTCCTATGCTCACAGAAGAACAATAGTAAGAAGTGTCCACAAAGTGGATATGCAGTTGGTGCCTTTATATCATTGCTGAGTAATACATAATAACACAAATAATAATGAATAATTATGTTAATATGCTCTATTTTGTTATATATCATATAAATACATTGTCCAATGTTAATATATGTTACTTTTATAAATTTCTCAAATATTTTTTTTAGGGGATCTTTTTTTTTTTTTAAAGAGTCTTGTTTTCTTTTTTCTTTGTTTATTATCTGATTTTGTTGTAACTTTTACATCCTGGAGAATGCATATGTTTCCAAACCTATGTGAAGATAGAATGGAATTGGTCAACAAATAAGTCAGTCACAACTCTCAAAACTTGAGACTTTTAATATTTTTTGGCTGATTTTTTATCTGATTTCAAACTATATTTTCTTTGTCTCTTTAGGTTGTTTTGATGACTAGAGACCATATTAGGGCTTCTTCTCTTATATAAAGTATACCCTAAATATATCCCTTAAATCATTATAATTATTATAATTATCCCTATATTTTGTGTTGGGGTTATTTTTTTCTTAACCTTCATTCCACACATATTGACCTACAACTTTCACATATTCGAGTACGAGTGCCAAACAATGTTTATTAAAACATACAATTAAATTATTGAATTAAAACTACCTTTATTCATTGTTGATAACTTCAAATTCAATTATCTCTGAAACCAGAGTTTCAACTTTGAGTGGCTTCTAAAATTCCAGTTATTAACCGATTCTCGCTATTTTGACATATTGTGTGCTCAGCTGTCTATTCTACAATCCTATCAGAATGGATTTTCATAAACTTTATACATTTGGAGTTACAATTTTTTTTTCTAAATTTGCCGCATATTTCAAATGCCCTATCGACAATTTTTTTACAGTAAACTATACTGAAAACCTATATTTTAATTTGATGAAAATGAAGATCATATGCTATTCTGAGAGAATAATAACATTAAATGAACAATTAATGATAGTTCATATTTTTTATTCTGAATTGAAAATCTGAAGTTTTCAATATTCATTTTTAAATTTAATTTTGATTGTTTTTCAAGTTACGCTGTGATCATTTAGACAAAGTTGGAGCATTTGCCTAGTTGATTATGCAAAAAATATTGGAAAGTGTTTGTGCAAGTTTTAAAAACTTATGTTAAATTATTTTTTGTCAAATCATATATGTATGCATTCCACGGTCTAAGGGTTATTGTCTATTCAGTTCATGCAAATTCTTTAAAGCATTTTAAACTTGTCACTATATGTTATTTAGCTGTTGACATTACCTGGACACTACGAAGGTAAACACTTCTTGGAAACCAGGGCTAGAGATGACATCCACCCTGGATCGCTTTAGGCAACGAACTGGAGTTGCTAAGTAGCCGGCACGAGGGGTCCGGGACTCCCCCCTCCCCCTCCTGAGAGGGGGTGGAGAAACGAGTAATTACCTAAGTGTAATTACTTAAGTGTAGTTACAGGATGAGAGCTACGCTCGTGGTGTCCCATCTTCCCAGCACTCTGTCATATAACGCTTTGAAACTACTGACGGTCTTGGCCTCCACCACCTTCTCCCTTAACTTGTTCCAACTGTCTACCACTCTATTTGCGAAAGTGAATTTTCTTATATTTCTTCGGCATCTGTGTTTAGCTAGTTTAAGAACAAGAGGTCATAGATATAAAGTTCCAGGTCTCAGGAAATCTTCCCTACCGATTTTATCAATTCCTGTTACTATTTTGTATGTAGTGATCATATCGCCTCTTTTTCTTCTGTCTTCTAGTTTTGGCATATTTAATGCCTTTAACCTCTCCTCGTAGCTCTTGCCCTTCAGTTCTGGGAGCCACTTAGTAGCATGTCTTTGCACCTTTTCCAGTTTGTTGATGTGCTTCTTAAGATATGGGCACCACACAACTGCTGCATATTCTAGCTTTGGCCTAACAAAAGTCGTGAACAATTTCTTTAGTGGTGCGGCGACAGTGTGTAATGTTTGCTTGTTTCTTTGGGAATTGAGGGAGTTCTGTGTTTGGTTTATGGTTGCAATTTTCTTACCGTGTGGGGGTCTGTTTTGTTATGCGTACCTTTCTTGGTGCCTAATCCCGGTCGATGGCAGATAAGGAAAACCCCCAACCACAAGGGGGGTTTTCCAGGGCCATTGCTCCCTGTGTCTCTCTGAGGAGGCCTGGTTCTGTTTCGTGGTCCCCAATAGGGGACCACTAAACTCCATTGACTAAAGCCCTGGTCTAATGTATCGCATATTAGCCTGATAGCTCCAGGGAGTCAAAGAGGCTCACCCAAAAAATGGCATTTCATTATATAGTGTCTTTTTCTGGGGGAGGAGCTCCTGCGGCTCCCCGGAGCTATCCAGGCTGATATGGGTATATTAGACTTTGGCATCAGTAAATGTGCATGGAGTTCTAGGCCTACTGGGGACCATGAGCCAGAACCTGGCCCCTTCAGAAAGGCATGAGGAGCAATAGCCTATAGAAACCCCCATATGGTTGGAAGCATTGTATGTCTGCCATTGACCAGGTCAGGCACCCAGAAAGGTAAGCGCCCCAAAACAAACTCGTATTCTGGTTAACATTGCTACTGAAAGCAGTACTAGTGGACAGAACTCCCCAAATGAAAACTATCAAATGAGCATGATCAAACTAGCACCACATTGCCACGCTGCTGTCTGCACAACCCCCCCCCTCCCCGGGAGGGGTAAGGGGGAGCCCCAGACCCCAGTTCTTTGGCTGATGTAATTGGCAATGGTCGTGTGTCTCTGGCTCCTGTTTTCATGTCCTCTAGCTCTGTGCCTTGTAGTGTGGTGGTGCGTGAGCCAGGAGTAATTTCTCAAGTACTCGGGCTGCATGCGCCTTGGGTTTCCTTCCCTAGGTGCCCTGTAAGTACTACCCTTGGGGCTTGGGGCCACCTTCCACAAGTCACCTTGTGGAAGGTGACTTGTGATATTCAGGCACGAGGATTTTGGAGATCAAACAGGGTCCTGGCCACCCAATATTTGGTTAACATTCCTGCTCCTGGGCATTCCTGTGTTGCTTTGGATTGCAGGTTGCAGCCAGTTGTCTCGACTTGGCGTTGAGGAGTGTGTGGCAGCTGCCTTCCATGTAAGTCCCTCTTTTTCCTTATCTTTGGTTTGGTAGCTCCAGGGAGCCGATGGGGCTCCCCCCACAGAAAACCAGCATTGAATGTAATGAAACGCCATTTTCTAAATGAACACCGGAGTCTCCCTGGCACCCCTCTGGTTTTTCACATTGTTTTGATGCTTAGCTTCTGAACTGGAGTGCTAGGTAGTCGGCGCGGTTGGGTCTGGGTCTTCCCCCTGCCCCCTCTTAGGGAGGGGAGGGCTGTGCAAATGAGCGGCGCAACTAGAAGGTGGGACCTTTGCTTGTTTCCATGGGAATTGAGGGAGTTCTGCCTCTGTTCGGTTTTCAGTTGCAATTTTCTTACTATGTTCTCTCTGTTCGGCGAGAGAGAGAGAGAGAGAGAGAGAGAGAGCGCGCGAGAGAGAGAGAGAGAGAGAGAGAGAGAGAGAGAGAGAGAGCGCGCGAGAGAGAGAGAGAGCGCGCGCGAGAGAGAGAGAGAGAGAGCGCGCGCGAGAGAGAGAGAGAGAGAGAGCGCGAGAGAGAGAGAGAGAGAGAGAGAGAGAGAGAGAGAGAGAGAGAGAGAGAGAGAGAGAGAGAGAGAGAGAGAGAGAGAGAGAGAGAGCGCGCGTGCGAGAGAGAGAGAGAGAGAGCGCGCGCGAGAGAGAGAGAGAGAGAGCGTGCGCGAGAGAGAGCGCGTGAGAGAGAGAGAGAGAGAGAGCGCGCGCGAGAGAGAGAGAGAGCGCGCGAGAGGGAGAGAGAGAGAGAGAGAGAGCGCGCGAGAGAGAGAGAGAGAGAGCGCGCGAGAGAGAGAGAGAGCGCGCGCGCGCGAGAGAGAGAGCGCGAGCAAGTAAGTTTCTGGTACTAGCGCAGGGTATGCTCGGTTAGATCTCGGAGGCTTCTGTGATTGTGTAACGTTATGAAGATAGGCTTACATTAATTACTGTAGTCCCTTTTAATTAATTATTTGATTTACAGCTCCACCCAGATGGTGTTGTCCAAGTAACATTTGAGGAAGTGGAATTTGCAGACATGTGCATAGCAACTCTCAACAGGCGCCTTTACAATGGGCGAACCCTTCATGTTTCAGTTTGGGATGGAAAAGAAAAATTCAAGTAAGTACATGTATGTTAGAAGGAATAGTGTTCAAAGTTTATTGTTTAAACAAAATCTTTTATATCCTAAGGCTGTGCTATGCCACTATGACTGTTTTGAATATGTATTTATAGGTTGGTGGTGTGGGGAATTTCCCAGCAGGTAACTGTATTTATTTAAATGATTATTAAAATGGACTGAAGAAAAGACTTCAAGAGTAATACAGTCCACTTAAAAGAAGTGGACTGTATTACTCAAGTCTAACTTCTACTGGGTGTTACCCTGACACACATCCTGGAGGGTTTATTCAATGTTACATATAATCAATAGTTATAGTTAAAGAAATTATTATAGGATTAGTAACTAACTACTGAAGCTATTGTAAGCCTTAGCTGATAAGGAAGTTTCAACATGAATCATCAGGAGAGTCCCAGCAGGGACAAGAAACTGGAGCTGCAGTTAAAGCAGGAAACTGTAAATAATTGGAGACTCAAATGGATGTTCAACTTTACAGATACACTAGCCATTCAAAAGGCTTTGGAACATGCTCTTGCTGAACACCAACAACATGTTATCGTACATACAGATTCGAGAACTACCATTGAAACCTTGAAACAGGAAAACATATGTGATAACATCCATCTGATCACAAATGTCATATCATTAATGCAAACACTCAAACGTCAAGGCCGTCGGGTACTTATCAACTGGGTGCCAAGTCATGTGGGAATAATAGAAAATGACATTGCAGACGAAGTTGCAAAACTTGCAACTAAGAGAAGAAATGTAGACATTTACATACCACAGTCTATCACAGATTAAGAAAGTAATTAGAAACAGAACAATGCAGATGATGTACATTGACCACAACACAGCAGTTGCAACATCAGGATCTGCGGGTTGGTACAAGAATTCAACCAACTACGAACCACTTAGGTTGATGAAAGAGAGCAGTAGAACAACAGAAGTACACTTACATCGCATTAGGCTTGGATACCCATGTGCATGGGAAATAGGCTTACAGGTTCCGGAAGATGAGAGGAAATGTCAGCACTGTGGAGAAATGCCCGACAGACCACTGGAACATTATCTAACACAGTGCAGAGTTACAAACCCATTAAGATTTCAACTAAGATTCAACAGAGCAGAAGTTGTTAAATACATGGGACAAAATCTTATCGAAGCGACCATACGAGTCATACTCATACTCCACCCAAGTAAAACAGGAACAAGAAACACTTAGTGGGCCAGCCAGAGGCTTAGGACCCACGCAGGAATATCCCCCCCCCCAAAAAAAAAAATAATAATCAGGAGTCAGTTAAGGTAAGAGTCTCATCGCCAGGGCGCCCGAGTCTCGTGTTGCCACAGAAGATAACCTCTTGCTCACAGCGGATCACCTCCATCTGGCAATATTTTTCACTGTAAACACAATAATGCTAATATCCTCACAGCTAATCTCAGTCAGTAGTTGTGAATCCCTAACTAGACATGTGCTTACCAGGGATGTTTAATCGCCATGCCACATAACCGATCATTCACTCAAATACCTTAAAACATGGCCATGAATTGATAATGAGTATATTTTACCGACCGGATACTGTGTGCCTTGTAGTCTGAGGGTTGCAGCAGCATTGGAACATTGTAGAACCACGGATGATGTCAATATCCGTCGCTACTAAATTTGCTTCCCTCATGATGGAGAGTTGCTCCTCTCAGTTCCTCTGCACACGCACAAGTGTGCTCTTTCCTCCCGAGGTGTGCGTCACAAGAATAGTCACGTTACTCTAACTTGTTTACTAATTAGAACAGTTAAGCGTTTTTTACACTTTAACGTATTAATTCTAAATCTAGAAAAGTTTTAGATTTTTCCCTAATGCTGGACTAGAAGTTTGTAAGTACTGTACATCTGATATGCGCTAAACTCATGGTGTGACTATTCCACCAGCAGTGACTTAACATTCACAATTGTGGTAATTTTACCTCAGGTGGAAGAGTACTTTAATTCTATCTAAGTTTTAGTTAATTCCAGTCTAAAATAATAATTGTAAATGAAAGCAAATTGTAGACTGGATATAAGAGTTAAGCAACAAAATAATCACCGCGTGGTCTGTGGTGGCTGACGCAACCGCCCGAATTTGATTCTAGGAAACTTTTGACATTCCCTTGCTAGAAATTATTATTGTTAGTAAAATTAATTTCCTGACACAACGTATTTACTGTATCTTGTGGTGTCGGGTTAGCATTCGGGGTGTCAGAAATTTCCGACGGGGTCACAGTTCATAAGTGAATTATATGACCATGGTGCAAGTTATGTAACATAAAATGACAGTAGTTGTGCTTAATGTAAATGTAAAAAAGACTAATTAGTACTCATCATTGACACTTATTGGAGTTATGTTTGATAATTAACCCTTTAACGGGCCCGCCTCCAAATATGACCCCCCCAGTGTGCAAGAAATAAAATCTCAGGAAAAAATTCTTTTTTTTTTTTTGTTCTGAAAGTGTCAAAAACCCCTCCCTGCATATGGGTATAGCAACAGAATGTCGAAATTGTACTTACTTTGGCTGCTATGGGGTCCGTAAGATGTCACGTGATGTCATCATTCCCCGTGCGCCTGTGCCGTAAGCTCCTGGGGCGGGATGCCGCGAATATATTTTTGCACATTTTTTGCACACATTTCCAAATACAATTTATTACGTTTTACGTGCTGAACTGATGTATGATGAACGCGTACACTATATTATAGCAGTAGAACATCCGTACTGTCCATAGACACTGTTACGTGCATCACAAAAAAGTACATTTATCCTGCATTTAGTTCTAATATATCGTGCAGATATATTTATATTTACATTATATACACACTGTACAATATCACACACTATATACACACACTATACACACACACTATACACACACTCGGTACTCTGCGAGTGTGTGATATGCTGCGAAACAGCCAACGGGGCAGAGTGGCACCTTGCACTCCACGCACCAGGTGCTGATGCATCTATGCTTTTGTGGTCTGCATGTAGTGTTCCTGCAGACTATGCATGCACGTTTACCCTTCTCCCGTGATGCTGTGCCTGGCATATACTCCAGCATGTGTTCCCCGAAGTTCTCATTACCCCGCAGTCTGTCTGGAACTGCTTGTGGCATTGTTGCTTGCACCCATATAGAGATAAAGGTACATATAGACGGTTTCATACCGGACTTCATCAGGTACATATTGAAGCAGTTGAGCACTGCAACATCCATGAGGTGGAAGAAGAACTTTTTCGTCTACTTCACAGACCTGCGCACGCACTCCACACCACCAAGCATCATGTCACATTTATCGACGAGGCGCATGTTCACGTTATAGTCTATGACACAGTCCGGCTTGTACATGGGGTTGCGTGTCTGAAAATGGACCTTGCCAGTGTCCAACATGGCACCGGTGTGAATCGTCGTCAGCATATTCACTTCGCGTCTGTCCTTCCACGGCACTGACAGCATATTGTTACACTTGCGCAGCTGGCACTCGCCCACACCTATACCTATACCGAACACTGGCATTTCCTTCCTGAGGAGCTTCACAGTGCCACATGCGCTGGTGTTGTGGGCAAGGAGGTATCTGGTCAACAGGGAGCTGGTGTAATAGTTGTCGGTGAACAGTATATGCCCCTTGTTCAGCAGCAGTTCCATCAGGGTTTTTACGACACTGCCGGAGAACCCATGCTCATCTTGAGATGGTATGTCGATGTCTGTACCGGATTACAAGATCATGTTCAGGACGATACCAGTCTCACAATTGCACAGCACGAAAAACTTCAGGCCAAAATGGTGCCGTTTGGAAGGGATGTACTGCTTGAATGCCAGTCTGCCCTTGAACAATGCAAACAACTCGTCGATAACAACATTCTGTCCAGGTACAAAATAATCCCTGAACTTCCCTCGCAGGTTGGTGAATACTGTACCTTGCGTACCTTCCACAATCTGTCGTGTATGTTCTCATTTGCATTGTTCTCGAAATGCAGGCACCTCAGGAACCTATCCCGCGACATATACCAGTTGAAGACGGGCGATGGAACAAGGCTGTCTTTGTTCCAATAGTCCTGGACGACAGCTTTCTCAGAGTGTTTCATCATCATGCATAGTGCGAGAAACACGTACATCTCGTCGATTGTCGTATCCTTCCATCGCGTGAGGCAGGTAATATGCCGCTGTCTAAGGGTGTGGGTGTACGTGTTTGTCTCGGTCACAAGATGGGTCATGAAGACATTTTCATTGTCAAAAATGCCTGGAAATATTCCATGTCCGCCATATCATCACCGGTATACGGGAATAAAGCTGTAACACCAACGTCGATATCATCAAATGTTGGTATTTGAGGGACAAATGTGGCGCAATCCTCCCACACAAGTACACTAGGGGGTTTGGTGTTGGCGTCAACACCACGACCAACACCACCATGGGCACCAAAACTACGGCTACGTCGTCTGCTGCTGCTGCTGGAGCTGCGTGAAGGTATGCTTGGCGCTGAGGCAGATTTCCGTACCGTAGGCCTACCACGAACACCTGATGTTGAGGGCCCACTGCCGTCATGCTATGAGACATGCTGCCGCCTGCCTCGATGTGTTACTGAGGCAGCAAAACCCCGCCTGGTGCCATCCCCACTGCTAGTACTCGGGTCGTCCACACTACTCGTATCGGAGCCAATGTCACTGAAGCCCGAGAAAGATTCGTCACATGTACTGTCACTGAATAATGAACTAGTGTCTGGGGACATACAGTACATGATAGTGGTGATGATAACGGTGTTGGCCCAGGGCGGCGAGACAGGCCGGGCGAGGAGCATGTACCGTACACGCTCACCACATCATCCACTTCTGTCTCTCCCTCACTCGTATCAGACCTCTGTGTCAGATCTTTCTCTGGATCCTAGTCCAGGTCATCATCCATAGCACCGTCGTCGTACAAAATGTCGTGAATCTCCTCCTCAGAGAGTCGTTTTCCATGACCGCGGGTCACCGTGGAATGGGAGCTTGTTGACGATGCGTCAGACATGGTTGCTGCTTGGGAACTGGGGCTCCCCATGGCCGCAGGTCATGTTGGGATTTTTTTTCAAGATGGCGGATGATCACTGGGGACCCCAGCCATCCATTCCATACCCTCGTCACCGCGCGCCACTTTTAAATTGAACATGAAAAATACAAACACCCCAAGGCATGTAGCGCACCCCAAGCCGGAGCCTGCAGGCGCGTTGCGCAGTTAAAGGGTTAAACAACTTGTCAATATTCAGGATGTTAGGTTTATGGGAATGATACCCAAAGTTTCAAGAGACAGCCATTGAATGTAATCATTTTCTCATTTGCAGTTGCAGGTTCGCCCTTTCATAGGCAGTTGGTTTCCAGGTTTCCCAGAGTGGCTTTGGCTTTCTTTCTGTTACCCATGATGCCTATGTTGCATCATGTGTCACCTATGTTGCCCCTGCTGCTTATGTTGCCCATGTCACGTATGTCGCCCTTGCTGAGCATGTTGCTCCTGCTGGTCTCTTGGGCTTATTCTCTTGCCTTTGTGGGTATGGGGTTTACTCTGGGTTCTGCTAGGAGGCTGCTTTCTATTGGTCTTAGGAGTGTTTCATCCTGCGTACTTAACCCTTTGAAGGGATGTGTTTGCAGGTTCATTTTGAGGTAGCCCATGGGCAGCTCGTTGTCCCCCCCCCCCCTTTTCTATGTCTCCATTCCAGGTGCATCACCATCCCTAGGGCCATGTGTCTTGTTCATCTCTGAGGTTAGGGTATTGCTCACTCTTTCTATTTTTCACCAATGGATAGATTGAGGAATTGTATTTGTAATTGTATTTTTCTTTTAATTTTACTAATCACTATTTATTATTGCTTTAAGGATTGAAGAAACAGAAGCAGAACGAGAAGAACGATTGAAAAGATGGAGCAAGTTTTTGGAAAGTGGAGAGAACACTGATAATTGAAACAAATGAAATACCAAGAGCTGAAATAAGGCACTATAAACATTAAGCTTACATTCAAGATTTTTCCTGAAGTTTACATTTTTTTTTATATATATATTACACATTTTTTATGATTGAGAATTTTATTTCAATAACATAATTTTCATATTTCTTGTACAGTAATTCAAATTAAATTAAAAAAAAATTAAAAAATTTTGATTGTATATTTGTCATTTTGTTGTTGGAATGGCATTTGTTGCATCCTTGTGAAAGATAATTTATATAAGAGAGAAAATGAGTGTGTGTAATTTCCTAAGTGTAGTTACAGAATAAGAGCTACACTCGTGGTGTCCCTTCTTCCCTATAATCTTTGGCATATGACACTTTGAAACAAATGATGGTTTTGACATCCAGCACCTTCTCACTTAAATTATTCCAGCTGTCTATAACTCTGTTCCCTAAAGGGAAACTTTTGTATATTTTTTATGGGAAACCCATTGTGGCTCTCTGAAGCTACTATAGGATGAGATGGTGCAACCTACTAGGTCGCATCAACTGTAGAATTTTATAGGCCTACTGGGGACCAGCACCAGAACCTGGCCCACTCAAAGGTGCAGGGAATGGTGACATTTATTTTTGCCACATCACCAGGGAAGGCAACCAAAAAGTCAGATAGTCAAAACACACTGTTGCTGCTGGATTAAAAAAAGTATGAAGCCTTGAAACTTGCCTAAAAATCTCCCCCCTCCCCCCAACTATGTGAACAAATGATTGAATTCTCTTGGAACTAGTGCTCTCAAAACTACTGTAGGCTCGCTCTACACTGCAGTGTACGAGTAGTGCCACCATAGTCAGCCACAACGAGCAGTCACCCCGCACTTAGCTGAACAAGCAGACCACCAGAGCCAGCATGGAAGAGAGGCAACCTGGTATGTACTACATCAGCTATGGAATGGGTTGAGGCGCCAACTGATGGTGAGCTCCTGTCCCCAAAACGAGTGAGGGAAGTGGGACAAATCAGCTCATGTTAGTTTCAAAATAATTTGATCATTTGTTTACATAGTTGGGGGGAGTTCTTTTGGTGGGTTTTGAGGCTTCAATCTCTTTTTGAATCCAGCTGTGGTGTGTTTTGACTCATTGACCTTGTGGTTGCCTTCCTTAGTGAAGTGACAGAAATAAACATCACCGCTCCCTAGGCATCTTTGAGTGGTCCAGGTTCTGGTGCTGGTAGGCCTGTAGAACTACATGGCTGATATGACCTGGTAGATGTATAATTTCAGCATATTGTACAGTAGCTTCAGAGAGTTACTGGGGCCCACTCAGAATTTGGCATTTCATTACATTCAACATGGGTTTTCTGTAGAGAGCCCCTTCGGCTCCCCGGAGCTATACTGGGCTGATGTGTATATATATATTAGACCGTGGCAACAGTCAGTTGATGGAATTCTAGGCCTACCGGGGCCCAGAGCCAGAACCTGGCCCCTCTCAAGAGTGGCATGAGGAGCAATGGGCTATAGACACATGTAATTGGAAGCAGTCTGTCTGCCATCTTCCAGGTCAGGCACCCAGAAAGGTAGGAATTCCAAAACAAACTACAGCTGGTTAAAAATTACTAACAAAGCCGAATGAGCAAGCAGAACTCTCCAAACAGCAAACAAGCATCTCATCACCACAGCTGCCACACCGCTGTCTGCATAACTTTCCCCAGGGGCCCCAGACCTCCCCCGCCAGCTACCCAACTTAAGTTCTGAAGCTGTTGCGTTAAGTGGCGGTCGATCAACTCTGGCTCCATCCTTTGAGCAGTGCTGTACCTTGTGTGGTACTCTGTTGTGTGGTGGTGTGCAAGCCAGGAGTAATTCCAGAAATACTGAGGCTGCATACCCCTAGGGTCACCTTCCTTAGATTCCCTGTAAGTACTGCCCTTGTAGTTTAGGATTATCTTCCATAAGCTGTTCAGGAACTACCTCCGCAGTGTTCTTTTGTTGCTCAGTGTTTGCCTGTCCTTGGGGTCAGCTTTGGGGTGGTTCCTGCCGCTGTTTGACCTTGGGTAGGAGGTAGTATCGTTGCTGGCTAGGGCGCAAGGTACTATGCAGCCGTCTGATATACACATAGCGGCCGGTTCTGTTACCCTGGAGACGTGCTTTTGCAGGGTTATTCTTTTCTTTGCCTGGTGGGGGGTCTGCCTTCTGTGACTATCGGTCCACTTGTATTTTTGGTAGCCCTCCACTAGGTCCCTGTGATTGTACACATTGCAGGGGTTCAACTTTTAGTTTGATTGCTTGATAGTTTAGATAACCGGTTAGCAGCAGTACCTTGCCTGGGCTTCTCTTAGAAGTCACCCTAAGGGCCCTGGAAACTCCCATTGGGGCTCATTGGTCTGATTGAGGAGTCCTCTTGAGTCCCACCTTGTTCTGTGCGAGTTTGAAGGTTGCTCTGTCCCCATCTCAGGGTGTCACTCACCGGGTGTGTGCCTCCGTCATGCTGCCTGTTGGGTTGGTGACGTTTTCGACCAGGAGTCTTGCGAGTTTTGTTGCTTGTTTGTACTCCAGTTCACCCAGACTAATGATCATGATATGCGGGTGCAGGCAGCTTCAGCATTGCATGCTAGATTTAGGTTGCTACAGCACGCTAGGTTGGTTGCTTCCCCGGATACCCTGAGACTGTCCCGTTTTGGTTGTAGGGACCTGGACTTGGGGGGGGGGGGTTAGTCGCCTCGACTTTGGTTCCGTCCGCACCCCCTTGTCCTTTCCCTTCTGTTGTGCGTCGTGGTCCTAGGGAGCATGTCGGCCGAGCGGACAGCACGCTGGACTTGTGATCCTGTGGTCCTGGGTTCAATCCCAGGCGCCGGCGAGAAACAATGGGCAGAGTTTCTTTCACCCTATGCCCCTGTTACCTAGCAGTAAAATAGGTACCTGGGTGTTAGTCAGCTGTCACGGGCTGCTTCCTGGGGGTGGAGGCCTGGTCGAGGACCGGGCCGCGGGGACACTAAAGCCCCGAAATCATCTCAAGATAACCTCAAGATAAGATACCCCCCCTGCTTCCGGCTCCAAAACATCTGAGGGATGGACTCCGATGATGGAACCATCGGAGTCAGGTCAGGGTTTAGTTGATAAATAGATACAAATGCTTGTGGGCATTTGGCTTCGGTCTTGCGCTTCTTTTCTCTGCTGGAGCTGTCTTTGGACTGGCTCGAGGAGGATGTGGGGGAGCTAGGTTCCAGGCCTGTGTCAGGTACTTTTGCCTCGGCGGCTTGGGCGTCGGCTGCCTTGTTAAGGGCGTTTGGGCCGATTCTGAAGGAAGCAGTGTCTCTCTTCTTTGCTTCGGGCCTCACATGCTGACGGGTTGCTTGTCCACTCTTTGGAATCCGTTTGGGCCCCCTAGCTCTTAGATTTTCGTCCCCTTTTTGCCTGTTGCTGTTTGCAGAGTTTGTGGCGGTGCATTTTCTGCAGGGGGGATGTCGTGGAGGTCCTTCCCGGAAGAGTTGTGCCAGAGCTCAGGGTTTTTTCAGTCGTCGTAAGCTAGTAGTACTGTACTAGATTCAGGGCCAGCTTCCTCCTGTGGAGTCGTCGGTGTCTGGGCGATGGGAAGGAGGCTTGTGCTGTTTGCTCTTGTCTGGTCCCACGATTTGTAGGAGTTTTGGGTCGTTTCCTCCAGCTTGCGGTGGCATTGGATGGCTCCTCTTTCTTCAGGGGGTTTGGGACTGGCGGGGCTGGCCTCTTCCCCTGCGCTCTGTCAAGTCATCCTAGAGTGGGGTTCGCTTGGACATGGTCGAAATAATGGCGTCCCTCAAATGGGTTCCCCTCCGGCCCAATTCTTAACCAGCTGTAGATTGTTTTCCGACTTTTCTGGGTGCTTGACCTGATAGATGGCAGACATAAACTGCTTCCAATTAAAAAAGGGTATCTATAGACCATTGCTCCTTGTGCTTCTCTGAGGGGGTCAGGTTCTGGCTCGTGGTCCCTGGTAAGCTAGAACACCATCGATTGACTGTTACCACGATCTAATATATATACACATCAGCCCCATATAGCTCCGGGAAGCCTCCGGGTCTCACCCAAAAAATGGCATTTCATTATATTCAACGCTGTTTTTTTTTTTACACTTGTGAATTTACATGTGTGTGTAATTACCTAATTGTAGTTACAGAATGAGAGCTACACCTGTAGTCCCATCTTCCCAGTACTCTGTCATATAACACTTTGAAACTACTGATGGTTTTGACCTCCACCATCTCACTTAGTTTGTTCCATCTGTCTTCCACTCTTTGCAAAACAAAATTGGTTAATATTTTTCAGCACCTCTGTTTACTTAGTTTGAATCTGTGTCCTCTTGTTCATGAAATTGCTGGTTTCAGGAATTCCTCTTTGTCAATTTGGTAAATTCAAGTTGGAATTTTCAAGTGGTAATCATATCGCCTCTCTTTTTATCTTCTAGTATTGGCATGTTTAACGCCTCTAGTCTCTCCTCGTAACTCTTGTTTTTTAGTTTCAACAGCCATTTTGTAACATGCCAGTGCACTTTTTCCAGTTTATTGATGCGCTTCTTGAGATTTCTTGAGACTCGAGATGTTCTTTGTGCTGCTCTGGTGATAGTTTACTATCCAAAATCACTGCTAAGTCTCGTTCTTTATAAGAGTTCTGTAATTCCTTTCCACATAATTTGTAAGTTGTGTGTGGTCTGTTTTCTCCAATTCCACATTGTGTGTATTTTCTATTTGTTTCTGCAGAATCAAGCTATTAGCTCTTGGACCTTGCCTTTCTAACCAATCTACTTTTTCCTCAATATTTCAACTACATATATATTTCTCTCTAACGCGCACACGTGCGCGCGTACACACACACACACTGTGTGTGTGTACTACCGCGACCCGTGTACTACAGGGGTCGCGGTAGTACAGTCGGGTTTTGTTCTCGACGCATAATCGAGAATTCCGGGTTCGAATCCCGGGTGGAGCAGAAATGGTTGGGCACATTTCTTTTATTTAAATACATGGATGGCGATATACTAAAGAAATTGTTCACGACTTTTGTTAGGCCAAAGCTAGAATATGCAGCTGTTGTGTGGTGCCCATATCTTAAGAAGCACATCAACAAACTGGAAAAGGTGCAAAGACATGCTACTAAGTGGCTCCCAGAACTGAAGGGTAAGAGCTACGAGGAGAGGTTAGAAGCATTAAACATGCCAAAACTAGAAGACAGAAGAAAAAGAGGTGATATGATCACTACATACAAAATAGTAACAGGAATTGATAAAATCGACAGGGAAGATTTCCTGAGACCTGGCACTTCAAGAACAAGAGGTCATAAATTTAAACTAGCTAAACACAGATGCCGAAGAAATATAAGAAAATTCACCTTCGCAAATAGAGTGGTAGATGGTTGGAACAAGTTAAGTGAGAAGGTGGTGGAGGCCAAGACCGTCAGTAGTTTCAAAGCGTTACATGACAAAGAGTGCTGGGAAGACGGGACACCACGAGCATAGCTCTCATCCTGTAACTACACTTAGGTAATTACATTTAGGTAATTACACTGACAGTTGGTAAATGGAATTTAATGTTAATAAATGCCATGTTATGGAATGTGGAATAGGAGAACATAGACACCACACAACCTATATATTATGTGAGAAATCTTAAAGAATTCTGATAAAGAAAGAGATCTAGGGGTGGTTCTAGATAGAAAACTATCGCCTGAGGACCACACAAAGAATATTGTGCGAGGAGCCTATGCCACGCTTTCTAACTTCAGAATTGCTTTTAAATACATGGATGGTGATATACTAAAGAAATTGTTCGTGACTATTGTTGGGCCAAAGCTAGAATATGCAGCGGTTGTGTGGTGCCCATATCTTAAGAAGCACATCAACAAACTGGAAAAGGTGCAAGACATGCTACTAAGTGGCTCCCAGAACTGAAGGGCAAGAGCTACAAAGAGAGGTTAGAGGCATTAAATATGCCAAAACTAGAAGACAGAAGAAAAAGAGGTGATATGATCATTACATACTAAATAGTAACAAGAATTGATAAAATCGATAGGGAAGATTTCCTGAGACCTGGAACTTTAAGAACAAGAGGTCATAGATATAAACTAGCTAAACACTGATGCCGAAAAAATATAAGAAAATTCACTTTCGCAAACAGAGTGGTAGACGGTTGGAACAAGTTAGGTGAGAAGGTGGTGGAGGCCAAGACCATCAGTAGTTTCAAAGCATTATATGACAGAGAGTGCTGGGAAGACGGGACACCACGAGCGTAGCTCTCATCCTGTACCTACACTTAGGTAATTACACACATACATACGTACTATATATATATAGTACATATATTCATATATATACATCCCCAGGAAGCAGCCCATAGCAGCTGTCTAGCTCCTAGGTACCTATTTACTGCTAGTTGAACAGGGTGGCATCAGGGTGAAAGAAACTACCTATTTGTCTCCGCCTCCATTGG